TTGTTTTGTGTCTATGTAAAAAAAAACCGCTAAATGGCCCTTATTTGGAGGGTAAGTAAAAAAAAAAGTTTCCGAATCGAATGCAGCAGGTTTCAATCGAGAAGTACTTTGCTCGTGTACCCTTTGAATTTCAAAATGTTTTCAAAGGGGAGTTTAGCCTAGTGGTCAGGGCTCGTGACTCATGGTCAAGGGTTCGAATCCATATGCTGGTCATGTGTTGTGCTCTTGGGAAAGCCACTTCACCTCCACTTGCCTCTCTCCACCCAGGAGTAAAAATTGGTACCGGTGTCATATGGAAAGCGAACTTTGAAATGTGGACTCGAACTCCTATATCCTATTATTGGTTTATAAACCCTCTCACGTGACCAGTCACTCTGATTATATTCACTTAGGCATGCGTAATACTACCAACGAGTCCGCTTTTCAAAGAGTCCTAAATTAGGCTATACACCAGTATTATAGCCCGGCAGTACCTGCGATGGACTGGCATCCTATCCAGGAGAGTTAGGTTGGCGAAGCGGTACTTTCCTCGCCTTCCACCGCTGTGACCCAGGCTCGAATCCCGCATGGATCAATATGTGGATTGGGTTTTGAGATCCCCCACCCCAGATTCTGTGGGTTTTCCCCAAAATATCTATCTGGGATTTCCCTCCCATCTCTAACTGTAATTTCTCTTCATTGTCTCCTCTCTAAGTTGGTGTGATGTTTCCCCTGGGATCCAAGGGCGGATCCGGGGGGGGGGGGCCAAAGGGGGCCATGGCCATGCCCCCCCCCCAAAAAAAACCGAAACCAATTTTTTTTTTTTTTTATGTGACGTCGCAATAAAGGTAGGCAATGAGTACACCACCATCTTTTCCTCAAAAAAACATTGGCTAAAGTGGTCAGAAATCGAGAATCTAGAAAAAAATTCGGGGCCCTGAAGCGGGCCCCGAACCCCACGCCGTAAGTTTTTGCCCCACTTTTTGGAGACCCCCCCCCCCAAAAAAAAATTGTGTTCTGGATCCGCCCTTGCTGGGATCCTTTGCCGACTATTATGATACAGATAGGCCTACGTATCCAGGGGGAATAGAAATATACTCAGTCGTCTCATGCTACTGAAACCGGAGATCAACTCCGGCCCGATGGCCCACATTGGCTCGGGATAGACTTACTTCCAATTTCACTCTGAATTACCCCACACGTAATTTTTGTAAACATAATTACACGGTGAGATTTCACGCTTTGGAAAGAAGACAGTAAATGTAGAGTTACAAGTCCATTCTCACTTACCTTTCTGATGGTTTGATGCCTACTCCGACCTACCTTTCCGACACAAAGAATTCCTTCCAACAAATTAATTCGGCTCAACTCCTCTCCAGCCCAATCCAGCTGACAATCGTCTTTGTTCTTATCAGTCTCGGTACAGCTTATACAACTAGGCTTTATAGCGTGCTCCGTCTAGTCGAGGAAAACAGGTTGTCATCAGTCAGAATACGTGCCGTTCGCTGTGGTGCATCAAAAGCGTTTTATATCCTGTCTGCGCCTTTTTATTGAAGTATCTCTATTGCACAGACGTCATGACTCATTACACCATTGCGAGGTTTTGAAGAGAATCGATATGGTTGAGTGAAAATTGCAAAATGCTGCTTCACTCGAAAACGGTGGATTCGGACGTGTTCAATTACAGAACTGAGCCGCAGCGGTTGATACTTGTGTGGTGGGCGGTATTTGGTAGTAAATTAAACATGTGGGCAGTCGGGTAGATAATTGTGGAGGTTTCTTCCTCTCCGTCTACCTCTGTTGATGCCGGCTGATTCCTGCCAGAGTCAATATGTGGATTTGGGTGTTTAGACCCGTTTACATTGGATGTACGAGACTATAGTTTTTCTCCAAATTCTAGCACGTGTGGTCTAGCCATGACTCATGATCGTGAGGTTGTGGGTTCGAGCCCCGCCGTGGTCATGCGTGTTGTGCCCTTGAATAAGGGGCTTTACCTCAATTACTCCTCTCAACCCAGGTGTTAAGAGGGTACCGGCATTATTCAATGCTGGGAAGGTAACAGGCTCGCTGTGGCGGAAGTGTGGCGATCCCCCCACAGCAGCATATGAGTCTGGCCCAGTCGCTAATGAAAGAGAGATGGGCACTCCGTTCCTGTTAACACAGGTTCGCCCCTTTTACCTTTACCTTTTAGTACGAAATCCTCTTTCTTCTCCTCAAATTCTAAGCTTCACTCCAGGGGAGTGCAGTGTATGAAGAATCTGCGCTAAGAACACCGTATGGCCACGTTACCACAGATGAATCGGACACGAAATGAAACCACACCCTGCCCACGTCAAAACATCACCGCATGTTAAATGCGTGCATTACCAAGATCGGCCAGACAATGTTGTTTGAAGCATGTCTCAGTTGCCCGTCACGCGAATCATTATTATACGCGCATGCGCACTAACACACCCGGCGTGGCGAAAAGGCCAGGAAAATGTTGTAACCATGGTAATACACAGCTCCTCGTGCTTGGAGCTTGTTAGTCTCCATATCTCGGCAATGATGGAGCTGATGATATAAATATTTTTAACTATCTGTCCGCGATTTAAAAGCATAATCCATCACGTAATCTGTCACAAACAGTAATAACTTGTCATTTTTCAATAGATATTTGTAAGAAAAAGTGAAGGAAAAACCTTTGAATTCCGAGCCTTCGTTAATAAATTAACCACTTAAAAAAAATCACCACTGTTAAATCACTCAAGACACTCTCGCAGCAGGAATACCTAGGTTGGGGGGGTATGGCTTTTGTTAAAAACAATAATATAAAACTGCTCCCATGGATCTTAAGCCTGGGAACGCGACTATTTTAGCAGGAGATACGGCACGCAATAACAAAGTGTTGTGTACTATATCCTGCTATCACATGCAATCGTGTTATCACACAAAACACCTGCATCCTCCGCTCAACACTTAAAACTGTTGACTCAATTTCCCCACGCTGTTGATATCAGGGGCAATTTGTTGCCGGTGGTCGTGACATTATATATCAGTAACAATTTCATTTCGTTTAAAGTAGGGCTCTGTCGGATGACACGACGCCTTCATTGATTCCGTGGCTTCCTGTGTGTTTTGCTGAAGCAGAGGTGAGTTTAAATTACTTTGCACCGCCAGTTTCGCTAGTGATTCGAGGCTTTTTACTGTACGTGGTTGATGGTGCATTTCAGGAGGTGGTTTCGGATACTCATCATAAAGTCACTCTAAAAAAGTGTCTCCTTGAAATAATCGGAAAGGTTTCCTCATTGTGGTATGACCGTCAGAAGAAGAATCATGTGAAGATGATCAGTTCATACCGACCGAAACATCGAGCGAATCGCTCCGGCTGGAATACGATTATACTATTTCAAGAATAATATTCCCGATAAACCTTGAAACCGAGGGCTATTAATAGGGCTAAACATTCATGTCCCTTTTATAAATAAATGTATCGAAGAAATTTGTTTTTGCTGGTTAACTTTTTTTTTTTTACATGTCGTGTGATTTTAATGAATGAATACTAATTTCACGATTACATATCGAAAAATTACGACATCAATATTTAAGAGACTTTAGCAATTGAACTTTGGTCTTACAACACAAACAAACACACACAGAACAGAATACAGAACCATATCTAAGCTGAACTCTGACTTTTAAAACTTACAGGAAAAAAAGAGAATAACAAATAACAGTGTCGCTTGAAGGCATGGGACATAATCATTGGCTTCTAAATTTCTCAGTGGCAGCACAAATTCTGCACTTTCTTAATCCGATGGAGCTGAGAATCCTTTTCACACTTTTTTTTTGGCAAGAGTTAGGATGTTCCCCAATACCGATGTTCCCCGAAATCCTTAGGGTTAGTGTTAGGGAGTAGGGTTAGGGTTATGGTTATGGTTTAGGGTAAAGATTTCGGGGAACATAGGTATTGGGGAACATAGTATTGAGGAACATAGGTATGCACCCTTCTCGAACGCATAGATCGGCAACTTCCACCGATACGCGTTTATTTGTTTGTTTGTTTGTTCAATGTACTTGACCGCTTAAGTTGTCCTTTTAAATTAGGCCCCATTCCCTGTCAATGACTGCAGTTATGTCTAGGGCTATTCAGTCTCTAGTGCCCCATACACGTGTGGTAGTGCCATCACCACTTGTCAGTTTGTGTAGGCCTTCAACGAACAGGTTCCTTATTTTTTTATTTTTTTTTTTTTATCTTTGGGCCGTCAAGAAACACAACCACAGGAAGAAGTCCTGTAACTCGGATGGCTTCTGATTTTTGTTTGCTCGTCTGTTTAGCTGCTTTCCTACCTGATTTGCTATTCAATCGGAGATAAAACGACAGATGAAAGTACTCCTTACAATCTCTGACAAAGTTTTGCTTATAAAACAAAGTTCACAATTTTACATATCCTTTGAAAAATGTCTAAATGTGTCACCTTCAACATTGACTGATAAACCTTTAAATATTTCAGAATTCCAGAACTGGACTATACAAGTTATTAAAATGCCTAAATAATTCCTACAGTATGTTTATAAACACAGAGTGCAACTATCGTGGTAAGCTAATTACATAATGACAAGTTATTTCAAAACACTATCAAAACAGTACATGTACTTATGTATTAACATGTTAATCTCATGTTGAAAATGCACGTGAAAAAGACACAAACGTTTGTTTTGTCATAATACAATGTTACAAGAAAATCTGACACTTATTTCTGTAGCTTGACTTTTCTTAACAAATATCTGGTATAATAAACTTGTTAAACAGTCATCAGGAAACTTCTAACGGTAGGTTTTTGGCTACAGCTTGCAGCAAATGGGTCAGACCATTAATAACATGTAACACGAATAAAACTACATAAGATTGAACAGTTATTGAGGGCGCTGTTCATACTGTTGAAGTAAGTCCAGTTAAGCACTCGCTGGAACAATGTTGAAGTAGATGTCTACTGCCCCCAAGAGACAAAAATCAACATATATTACGCCATCTTTTCACGTTAGCGTTCCAGATGTGTAGAGCCAGTCGCTGTGTTAGACAAAATGGATGGGGTTTTCTTCTGCTCCAGTGGTGTCTTGGAGATGAGATAAACCTTCGGCTTCTGTTCTTTCTTCAGGGCTTGTTTCGCCTGTTGCTTTCGGCTGACCATGGTCACGATGGTATAGAGATAGGGGTTGAGGGAGGAATTGATGGGCAGGACAAAGACTACCAACCAGGCGTAGACTTCTGGCTGGATCTGAATCACACTGGTCTGGGACAGGATACCAAGAATAATGACAGGCATCCAACACAGGAAATCAGAGCCCACGATGACAGCCATCTTTGACGCCATCTTAATCTCTTCATCCTTGTGCGCTTGGTGGCGCTTCACGCGCCGGATTGACCTCTTGACCTTTACAAAGATGGCGGCGTAGCAAAAGCTGACCAGGAGAAAACAGACGAGGTTGACACCGAGAAACAACACGATGGAGTATAACCATGTGGGTTTGCTGCCCTGGGGATGAGGGATCAAAAAGGTGTCGTTACCAAGCCCGCCACCAAGATCTTCCTCTTTAAAGGTGAAAGTGACTGGCCTGGTGAGTAACGGCAGCCCAATGCAGACATCGGATAATCCGTAGATGTCCGAGTCGCTGGTTACCAGGACCGTGGGAACGAGGCTTGCTACCAGGCATGTGACCCAAATCGAGGCTACAGATACCCAGACTGACTTCCCTTGGAGGCGAAGACGGCTGAACGGATGGACGATACACAGGTAACGATCCACGCTGATCAAGGTGATGAAGAACACGGAGGCCTCCGAGGACAACACTGAAATGACCCCTGCTGCCTTACAGAGGGCGCTGTTCCTCCATTCTGTAGCCGTCAGGTAATACTCCTCTTTCTTGATGGCGTCGACGGTGGCGATGATCACCATATATGCGCCCATCAGTAAATCGGACATGGCCAGGTTCAGCACCAGAAATGAGTGCACGTACTTGCTGCCCTTGCCGCTGTCCTCACGAATCCGCCAGGCGATGACCAACAGGTTGCCAATGAGGGCGCTAAAGCCCAGGATCCACATGAAGACCTGGAGGAGAGTGTTGGGCATTAGCCGGCCGCAGTTGAACAGCGGTGACTGAAGCTGGATGTTGATGCACTGATTGTCATCTGGAAGCAGCGACTTGAAGTCACAGCACAGGCGATGGTCATCAACGTATCTATTTGAATAGATAGACAAAACGAAGTTAGTATACACAGGCTGAAAAAGAGAAAAGATGCTGATTTGTCTAATAAGCGTCATAAGAGGGAGAACAGTCTTGAAAGCTAATCATCCTCTCCTGGATAGAGACATATACAATAACAAGTTAAAATACGTACACAGTTTGAAGTGAGGTGAGGTCTTTAAGTGCTCCATCTTCTACCTTGGTAGCTGACAGTGTCTGGAAGAAACCGTTGGTATCTGCTGGGCTGTTGTCTGGCATTAGTATTCTGTAGGTCAAGCAAAACACGCAGTGAATACATCAGCTATACGTTTTCTTTGGCAATTTGGGCGAGAGAGAGCATCAAACAATAGCTATAGCATCAGATAACAGCATGTTTATTCCAAAGTCTTCAAAATCGTTCCTGGTCTTTATTAAAGATAGGCCTGTAAATAGCCTACTTTTAATTTGTTTGTGAAGACAATTTAAAGGGCGTGCCTGAACATTTGTCTGATCTTCCTTCCCTTTGTGTCATTGTGACTGACTTAGCAGGTCAAGGAGAACCTGGAATATGGGAACATTTTTGAATCGTGTCGACGCTACTTACAGTGTTTCGAGATTTTTTAAGCTTTCAAACGCTCGGTCGCTGATAAGTCGAAGCGGCACCTTACGCATTCCCCTGAAATATAAAGCGCCATAAATGATTAGCAAACGAATACATTGAATCTGTCGCGGACAAAGTGGGAATCTGCACAAAATTGGAATTCCCACTTTGCCTGGGTGGGCAAAGTGGGAATTCCAATACTGCCTGTCAAAGTGGAAATGAATCCAGAACTTTTACACGAATCTATTCGTATAAAAGTTGTAATTCAAAAACGATTCCTACTTTGCCCATGCCCAGTAATAGCGCGATGTGAGAATGGTGCCGATGACCACTTCAGGTACCTCCCGCTTAGGTTGTAGTAGGTAAGAAATAGGCCTAGCTTTCCAAAATAGTGTCTTTTTGATTTCCACTTTGCCCATGGTTTTGCTACAGCGCAATGTGGGAATGCTGCAACAGATACAATTTAGTTAGCGTTTTTGCTGGAATAAATGTTAGATGTACCACTGCATTCCCACTTTGCCGCGCAGTATTGGAATTTCCACTTTGCCCTGGGCAAATTCCGAATTTGCCCAGATTCGCACATTGCGCGTGTCATCAACAAACATCGGAGCCACCAACTACGAATCGATCAGAATACTTTATTGTGTTTTTTTTTGTATTAATTCAGAGAGATTTGTTTTTTATTGGAATGTTATCTATTTTTCAGCTGATCTAATAGTTATCAGAGTATACAAGAAATTCAGTGGTGTACTTACAATACAGTCAACGTAGTCAGTTCGCTGAAAACTCCGCCGTCCAATTCGCCAATCTTGTTTTCAGACAGGTCCCTGGATCGGAGAAAATTTTGAAACTATTTTGCAGGCCTACGGAGTTCAGAATGTGCGATCCGAATACATTTATGTTATTAACAATAAAAAATCAGTGTTAAAACTGACATGATTTGTCATAAAGAACCAGTGTTAAAACTAACATGATATGTTTAAGAGAAGTTAAGGCTCTGTGTCCACATATCGTACTTACAGTGACGTCAAATTCCTCAGCCCTGCAAATGCGCCTAGCTTGATATACGATATGTTGTTCCTTCTTAGAGACCTGCACACAACGACAAAATAGACAAATTTCTGTCAAGCCAAGACTACTTAGTGAAGAAAAATTGGTCGTCTGTAAATGCTTTATTTGTTGCTTATCACCAACAAGTGCTTTTGCAAGGTCTTTGTCCTGAGGGACAAGCAGAAATATTCGTTCTCATTACATTTAAAAGTGTTACGACTGCCAGGAAGTGGCCATTATGAACCAAAGAAGCTTTTCACTGAACAAGCAGTAAGACTAGAAACACTAAAATGTAAATAGGGACTCTTACAGTGTGCGAAGCTTGGGAAATCTCTTGAACAGGCCTTCCTCCAGTGTTGTCGCGTTACCCTCGGTGAGCTCTCTGTCGAGTACGGTAGACAAAGGAAACAAAATGAAATAATAAAAACCGAGCGGAAAAACATCTTCAACAGACCTTGGTTTTTATTTGCTTGGTTTGGTTGGTTTGGTTTGGTTTGGTTTGGTTTGGCTTGGCTTTGTTTGCTTTGGATTGGTTTGGTTTGGTTTGGTTTGGTTTGGTTTGCTTTGCTTTGGCTTGGTTTGGTTTGGTTTGGCTTGGCTTTGTTTGCTTTGGTTTGGTTTGGTTTGGTTTGGTTTGGTTTGACTTGGCTTTGTTTGGTTTGGTTTGGTTTGGTTTGGTTAACTTTGTTTAGTTTGGTTTGGTTTGGTTTGGTTTGGTTTGGCTTGCTTTGCTTTGCTTTGGTTTGGTTAGGGTTAGCTTTGTTTGGTTTTGTTTGGTTAACTTTGTTTGGTTTGGTTTGGTTTTGTTTGGTTTGCTTTGGTTTGGTTTGGCTTGCTTTGCTTTGCTTTAGTTTGGTTTGGTTTGGTTTGGTTTGGTTTGCTTTGGTTTGGTTTGGTTTGGTTTGGTTTGGTTTGCTTTCGTTTGGTTTGGTTTGGCTTGGCTTTGTTTGGTTTGGTTTGGTTTTGTTTGGTTTGCTTTGGTTTGGTTTGCTTTGCTTTGGCTTGGTTTGGTTTGGTTTGGCTTGGCTTTGTTTGCTTTGGTTTGGTTTGGTTTGGTTTGGTTTGGTTTGACTTGGCTTTGTTTGGTTTGGTTTGGTTTGGTTAACTTTGTTTAGTTTGGTTTGGTTTGGTTTGGTTTGCTTTGGTTTGGTTTGGCTTGCTTTGCTTTGCTTTGGTTTGGTTAGGGTTAGCTTTGTTTGGTTTTGTTTGGTTAACTTTGTTTGGTTTGGTTTGGTTTTGTTTGGTTTGCTTTGGTTTGGTTTGGTTTTGTTTGGTTTGCTTTGGTTTGGTTTGGCTTGCTTTGCTTTGCTTTAGTTTGGTTTGGTTTGGTTTGGTTTGGTTTGCTTTGGTTTGGTTTGGTTTGGTTTGGTTTGGTTTGCTTTCGTTTGGTTTGGTTTGGCTTGGCTTTGTTTGGTTTGGTTTAGTTTGGTTAGGGTTAGCTTTGTTTGGTTTGGTTTGGTTTTGTTTGGTTTGGTTTGGTTTGGTTTGGTTTGGTTTGGTTTGGTTTGGTTTGCTTTGGTTTGGTTGGTTTGGCTTGGCTTTGTTTGGTTTGGATATGTTTGGTTTGGTTTGGTTTGGTTTGGTTTTGTTTGGTTTGGTTTGGTTTGGTTTGGCTTGGTTTCGTTTGCTTTGGCTTAGTTGGTTTGGCTTGGCTTTGTTTGGTTTGCTTTGGTTAGGGTTAGCTTTGTTTGCTTTGGATTGGTTTGGTTTGGTTTGGTTTGGTTTGCTTTCGTTTGGTTTGGTTTGGCTTGGCTTTGTTTGGTTTGGTTTGGTTAGGGTTAGCTTTGTTTGGTTTGGTTTGGTTTGGTTTGGTTTGACTTGGCTTTGTTTGGTTTGGTTTGGTTAGGGTTAGCTTTGTTTGGTTTGGTTTGGTTTGGTTTGGTTTGACTTGGCTTTGTTTGGTTTGGTTTGGTAAGGGTTAGCTTTGTTTGGTTTGGTTTGGTTTGGTTTGGTTTGACTTGGCTTTGTTTGGTTTGGTTTGCTTTGGTTTGGTTGGTTTGGCTTGGCTTTGTTTGGTTTGGTTTGGTTAGGGTTTGCTTTGGTTTGGTTTGGTTTGGTTTGGTTTGGTTTGGTTTGGTTTGGTTTGGTTTTGTTTGGTTTGCTTTGGTTTGGTTTGGCTTGCTTTGCTTTGCTTTAGTTTGGTTTGGTTTGGTTTGGTTTGGTTTGCTTTGGTTTGGTTTGGTTTGGTTTGGTTAGGGTTAGCTTTGTTTGGTTTTGTTTGGTTAACTTTGTTTGGTTTGGTTTGGTTTTGTTTGCTTTGCTTTGGTTTGGTTTGGCTTGCTTTGCTTTGCTTTAGTTTGGTTTGGTTTGGTTTGGATTGGTTTGCTTTGGTTTGGTTTGGTTTGGTTTGGTTTGGTTTGCTTTCGTTTGGTTTGGTTTGGCTTGGCTTTGTTTGGTTTGGTTTGGTTTGGTTAGGGTTAGCTTTGTTTGGTTTGGTTTGGTTTTGTTTGGTTTGCTTTGGTTTGGTTTGCTTTGCTTTGGCTTGGTTTGGTTTGGTTTGGCTTGGCTTTGTTTGCTTTGGTTTGGTTAGGGTTAGCTTTGTTTGCTTTGGATTGGTTTGGTTTGGTTTGGTTTGGTTTGCTTTCGTTTGGTTTGGTTTGGCTTGGCTTTGTTTGGTTTGGTTTGGTTAGGGTTAGCTTTGTTTGGTTTGGTTTGGTTTGGTTTGGTTTGGTTTGGTTTGGTTTGGTTTGACTTGGCTTTGTTTGGTTTGCTTTGGTTTGGCTTGGTTTGGTTTGCTTTGGTTTTGTTTGGTTTGGTTTGGTTTGCTTTGGTTTGCTTTGGTTTGGTTTGGTCTGGTTTGCTTTCGTTTGGTTTGGTTTGGTTTGGTCTGGTTTTTGTTTGGTTTGGTTTGCTTGGGTTTGGTTTGGTTTGCTTTGCTTTGGTTTGGTTTGGTTTGCTTTGCTTTGGTTAGGGTTAGCTTTGTTTGGTTTGGTTTGGTTTGCTTTGGTTTGTTTTGGATTGGTTTGGCTTGGTTTGGCTTGGTTTGATTTGGTTTGGTTTGTTTGTTTGTTTGTGGGGTGTTGGGGTGTTTGTTTGTTTGTTTGTTTGTTTGGTTTTTGCTTGTTTGTTGGGGTGTTTGTTTGTTTGTTTGTTGGGTTGTTTGTTTGTTTTTTTCTTCGTTCAGTTTCTTTACATTGATATAGTGTTTTTATATATATATATATATATATATATATATATATATATAAATATTTTTTGCATTGCATTCTATTTATTTTCTGTGTAGACATTTCGAGCATGGATAGGCAGGCCTTAGGGCAACAGTGTTTAAGTACACTTTTGATTACCCTGGTCGGTTTGAAATGTTATATTGTTCTTGTTTTCCGTCCCTCTATCTCCTCTCCCCTGTCAAACTGTCCACCCTCCCTTCCCTCCCTCCCCCCCCTCCAACCCATTCCTACTCGCATCAGTCTTTAGTCTTATCTGGTCATACTTTTCAATTTCTATTTTTTGTTTACTTTCTGATTTTTATTTGCTTTGTCATTGTACTTTTGTAAATAATAACCGAAAATATAGAAAGCATCAGTTTTTTTTTCGAACCGGGGTTTGAAAAAGCATTGACTACAGTATGCCTGACATGAATGTATGAGATTTCAAGGCATATACAACAAGGCACTCACAGCATGGAAGTGATGGCAGCTATGTGGTTCAGAGTAGCCAAGTTCCAGCCTTGGTTGCATTTGACTTGGAGCTTTGTCTCGATGAGGGCGCCCGAGCATTCCTCGGGACGACCTCGCACATCTGGACGAAATGGATGAAAATTGTTTTAAAAAGTAAAATAGGGGAGCGAGTCCGTGGCAATTTACACCGCTGATGTACATTGCATGTATGTTTTAATGACTAACCAGTTTTTAATGTCCTATAATATGTATTGTTTAAATGTTTAATGCAGGGCCCCAGGGAGAACAGTTCTTAGCTGACTAATGTGACTACCCTAGTAAAATAAAACGATAAATAAAAACATGTTCTGCAAGCGTTGTTGTTGTCGTCGCCCAAGTAACCCGCACGAGCGTGCTGCGAATCATGTGATACAGCAACAATGCCTTTAGTCTGAAGAATTCAAAGGTACATCCCGAAAAATATAAATTAAAATATAAATATAAACATAATTTTGACATTGAAATTATTTGGTGGAGTATGAACTCACCGCACATTTGTTCGTCATCACCGAACTCGCAGTCGGATGTCCCGTCGCAGATGGACTCAAGTAGAACACACTGGTGTTTGCCTGCGCATAGGTATTGGTCCAAGCCGCAACTGATATTACCTGTCGGAGACAGCCGAGATGTCGGAGATAGCAAGAAATGCAAAGTTATACGTTCAATAGATGTTTGTACGATGAGTCAGGTAGGACTTTTACTATCTGCTGGTTGGCGAATCTTACAAAGAAACTTCCCCCAGAAAAAAAATGGATGTGTTTGCCACGAGTATTTTGGTCTAGCACGTCTAACGTATACGACGTTGTTGCCACACCATCCAGCTCCCTATAATACAGGTGCCTAACGGACCAAAAAGCTTCTAATATTAAGATACGAATCTTTCCAGATTTAAGCGGGTTCCTGCGCTAATTTAGTTGAGTCATATACTAATGTAGTACCTCAATTCGTATGTTGACCATAAGTTGTCGTGGTAAACCTTGGCCACACTTTTCATCATCAACATTATTTTTTGTTCATCATCAGCTGCATTATTGTTCATCATCAGTAATACGTTTTGGAGTGTTTATTGAGATTAAGTTGAAGTATTTCACTATTAAAAGTCTGAACGAAACAAATTTGCCAAATCAGCAAAACAAACCAAATAAATCATTTTTTACGTGCCAACCGTGACTTCAGAGGACAGTGAAATCGTAGCATAGGACCTACATACACTGGATACCTCTCCATTAACCCTTGCAATTTTTTTTTAACATTGCATTTAACACTCCTTAGGCCTTTTACAAAAAAAACAAACGTGACACACAGACATCAGATAGTGTAGGATCTTTTAATATAGGAAAGGCAGCTAGGCCAATCAATGCCCTCTGAAAGCCACACAGTAAAAACTAAATATAACAGTGCTCTCCGGATATGGAGCGGGGATTTCAGTGCGATGCGCCTGGCCTTCAGTAGGGCAGTTATGGCTGTGACGCCTGATGGCCAGTCGGACAAGCTTAAATGAAACTCGGCCTGAAATTGTTGCGTTGGTCTAGACATCAAAATTTCCCCAAGATTTATTCGGTCCGTACGGACTTTCAATTTGCTGCAACATCGAAACTCCATAGTGCATACCACACTTGTCATGCTCGTCACTTCTGTCGTAACAATCGATAAAGCCGTCACAGAACGCATCGGGTTGCAGGCAGAGCACGGAGCCTTCTGGCAGCTCACACCGTGGATTGCAGTCGGCAACAGCATGCTTGTCTGCAAAGAAGCGGCTGTTAGAAACCGTTTTTAAGTCTGAGTACACACTGTTCAACAAAGCGCATTCAGCAAGCCGCATTACAAGGCAGAGTGCCACATGCAGTACTGGTAAAGCTAAAGCACGTTGTCACTCCCCAAAACACGTTAAATAACTCATACGATCGTGTCTAATGAAAAACCACTTTTTCGATGACTGTGTGGAAGTACAGAATGTTGTTTTACCTCTACTATCAAAGAGTAATTTTGGTGTACTATTTAAAAGACAATTCTTCAATAAGTGTAGCATCCGCATGATGCTCTTTTAGCGCTTTTTATTTGGACACTTTTTGAACAGCCAAATGCTCTCGTCATGTAAATATGCAGAAAAGGGACCTCATCGCATAAAGAAAAATGAAATCCTATTTTAATCGTAAAGATCGATTTGTTAGACTGTTTTGCTAGCTAAAGTTAAGGAGGTTCAACTGCCAATTCTTCTTTATAGAGTTCGTTTGTCACTTAAACATGATTCCTTGATTAGTCTGTTACCGACTGCCTTCAAAGTAACGTGGAAGCCTTCAGCCGAGCCAAAAATATCGGTCTGGAGTCGAAGCCACGCCCGATCGCTTTCGAAATGCACCCTGAGAATCTTGGTGGTCCCCGTTAGACTGGCTACCAGGCCCTCGCTGCTGTCATTGCCGACCCCCAGGTGTAGGTAGTCGTAATTCTGCTCAAGATGGAAGGCGAGGATGTCCAGTTTGATCTTCTGGTACCGACTTGTGCCGGTCAGTAGGAGCCAGACGCAGGTGCTCTTGTGTGGATAGGCCCCGATGTGAAAGAGCGGGGAGGTCAGGTCGTAGAAGTCGTTCCATGGAACGTCGATCAGTGTCTCCCCGCATGTGCCTTGAAGAAATATGAGAGCAAGTGCACACAGAAAGCTATAATAAGGCATTTTGTGGTAAGCTGTATTTCAAAATGTAGTCAATGCGTGTGAAATACCGCAGATATTTCCAGCAAGATGCACTAGGTTGCTCAAGAGGACTGTTTTCTATCGACTGCAATCTACTGATCCGTCAACACAGAATAACACTATAGTACAGGTTTTTTTCGTACTCCTGGAATGATACATTACTCCTCAAAGTTCATTGGAGAATCGACACTTGTTTTTTCTTACCTACAGAGGAGCTTTCGTCTATTCCGTCTGGACAGTCGGCTTTACCGTCGCCAACTTGGCTCTCAAGAATGCAGAACAACACATCAGTGTCATTACAGGCGACTTCTCCCTCGCTACAAGAAGCTAAATCTTCAGAATTTTAGGTGTATGTATACACATTTGGTTACAGTGAAAAAAAAAACCCAACAAACAAACAAAAACAAGTTAATGAATTGCTACATTATTCATTCAAAAAATCGAGAATATTGATTGCAAAATTATAACAACGTTGTGCTTTATACATAGCGCTTTATAAAACTCAAAGCGCTCCAAAAATTATTGCTGCTGTTCATCAGGCCTTGATGAGTCCAGTTTTGTAGAAGCTCGCGATCAGCAAGATTCTGGTCGCTACCTGCACAGGTACCCATTTTTACTTCTGGGTGGAGAGAGGCAATTGTAGTAAATTTGAAGTATCTGGCCTAAGAACACATGCACCATGTTCCCCGCCAGGGTTGGAACCCACGTACCACGACACTTGAGTCGAACACCGTCACCATTGGACCACAGCGCCAGAAATCACGCTTTCCTAAAATTCAACTCACCTGACTGCACCTGTTGTACAGTGAAATTTACCCCTGGATACTCGTAGATGAAGTCCGAAATAAACAAGAGCGCCACGTATTCTTTTACAGCTACCCTCTGGGGATAACGCTCGCCTGAGACGCCAGCCACCCACATAATCCCGTTAAACATGAACAGCCCGTCCGCGAACTCTTCAGTGTGGGAGTCGTGGAACACGACCACAACGTCATAGCCTGGATCCGAATACAGGAGCCAGTAGCACATCGAATTAGGTGGGTAGGAGCTGGGGTACCCGATCGAAGTGATTGAACGCGGGCCGGATGTAATGTCATTGTGGAGTTGACCACAAGGTGCTGTACCAAAAAAGAGAAATGGTATGAAAACCGACGATAGACTTGCTTCTCAATTTCGGAGTTGTGCTTATTTTGTAAGAGTGCGATGGTGCATGGGAACAAACTATTATTTTTTTTTTCAAATTTACTTGCCCTTTATTTTTTGTCAATTGCGCATAGTTGCAGCGGAAAAGCGTACGCGTTTTGGTTCTCATATTTTGTTATTGGCTTTTTCGTAGACATCCCAAACACCTTTGTTTTTTTTATGATTTTTTGGGGGCTTTTCTGTAACAATGCGGAACATACTTTGCTTTTCTTGGTGTGTAGGCTAGTCCGAGGTGTGTTATAAATTATAACGCAATTATAGATTTTCTTATGGCTTTTAATTTTTTTTCCTGAAGCCGAATTTCATCAATAGAGCATGCTAAATTTAAAAGCATTTTTTTTAATAATGTATTGTTGTGTTCGCCCAAAAATGTGACAAATACCGTGCGAAGTCATGATGGCGTCACAAAAAGGTATCGTTGTTGCAAGGGAAGGTCCGATCGTCAAGAAACTCGGCGGATAGGTAGACTACCTTGTATGTTATTGATATGCACCTTTTAAAAATGGCGTCATTATGACGCCATCAGCTAATGTTTATGCATGTTTTAACATTTAACGTTTAGTTCCACTCATACAATTCGACATTTTGGTTCATAACATCGACTCCAAACATGGGTCACACAGCAAATACTGCCGAGGTTTTGACCAATGACATCACGATGACGTTATTATTGGTCACGTGACGCCCTCTTAAAGATGCACATTTTAAAGTCCTACATCTAGAGAATTACCAGTTCGATTGGATTAAAATTGGGTATATCTATTGACAGGAATTCTCCTTGCATCACTCTGGACGTCGTCTCTTACCGCAGTTGATCTCGTCGGAGTGATCCTTGCAGCTATATATTCGGTCGCACAAATCGAAACTGGTAAGACATAATGGTGAATTGCCACACTTGAACTGTCCACTTCCACACAGACCTGTAAGGAAACGACAAAGGTTTCAAGTTGTAAATGCATAGTTCGTATAGATTTGTGGCTAGCAAATAGGTCCTGTTCCATCTTTTTAGAAGGCAATAAGATCGTTTGGCTGTAATATGCATAAGTGAACATTAATATATTCATTGTACTGAATTTATGTAACCTTTTGTATTACGCATTAGATTTATGGCGATATGGATAGGCTCTCTGGGCACAAATCAATGCAGTTAGTCACTCGGGTAGAAAGATGACCATAGCCTGGCTCCTCTTGTAAAGTATGTTATCAGCCGCCGACAAGAGATAACAAGTAAACGAGCCGACTTACCACAGTCGAACTCATCCTCGAATTCCGGACAGTCCGGCTTCCCGTCGCAAACTTTGCTTTGGTTGATACAGAGAGTCCCGGATAAGCAGGAATACTCTTTTTCACCACATTCTGGATTGAAGATGAGCAAAATGCAAACAGTAAGTCTTTGCTGGTGTTACAAGGCTTTTGACGCAATCATAATTGTTATATCGTGTGCTTGGATGCTGTAATTTCATTGGTCTAAGACGGCAACGTGTCTGGACAATACAAATGCATGCCACACACTGAGATGAGGGGCATATCCATTGATTTCCATTATTCACACATATTGAGATCAATGACGATATCGCACTGCGTTCATTGTGTGCGTTACGCGCGTGCGCAATGAAAAATGCAACGTCAAAACGCTCAGTCTCATGTCGGCAGGACGACATCAAAACCTGCAGTTATCAAGGGTTACATCGCAGTGATTTAATTTATTTTTGTTGGCAAGGACGTTGATCACGACGATTGTGCCGTTGGGCGCCCTGATCAGCTAGAAACAGTCTCTTTGGTCTGGAAAATTCGAAGTTAAAATGTGCCAAGCATTCGAGCAAGTCAGGATACCAGATGTTACTCGACTTTAAATCGCCAATGGCTTTCGCTTGAATACCTTTTTCGTCATACTCTGTAATGTTCAGTCTTAAGTAGCGGCGACCAGGGGTATTGAAATCTAGTGACGACTTATCTAGCCATATCCAGAAGTGAGGCCCCTCGAAGCTGATTGTGCCCAGATACGTCACTTGGGTAAAGGCATGAGTTGCAGTTGTCGTGGAAGGCTCGTGCCCAGTACCGAAATACAGTCCGGCATACACGAAGAGATCCCAATCATCGTAATATTCGTAAATGGGCAATTCCAGGATTTCCACCCGGATCCTGGTATGGTTGGTAGAAGCGGACACCAGCCAGATGCACTCCACTGAGGTGTCGATCGTCTGGCTGAGGCTGAATGTTTCATTTGGGGTAAGGCTGATGTGTAAACCGCCGCATCGACCTGGAAAGTGCATGAGAGCAACTGTTAACATAATGAAGACTTCTTGAAGAGTATAGTGAGTCGAGTCATGGCGCCAGGACCACTGAGTCACCTGTAATAGCCGAGGCTACCAAGTATTGCTGACAATTAAAGGAGCAATTGCTATGTACAGCAGTTTTTGTATTTCTTCCGCCCTACACTTGTGCCTCCTTGAATCAACAGTTACTGTTTCCGAACTCGTATAATTCGAAGCTTCTTTCTCGAAGTTTACCAGCTATTACGTGATTTCGCTACTTCTCCAAACACTGTCAGTGTCCAAAAGCGAAGGCAAGAATCAGTTTTTGTTTCAACGATTTGAGGGAAATGGGCTCAGGCATCTTCAGATAAATTTTAAATAACATTCAAGTGCAGCAACTTGACATAGTTCGACGCCCCAAACGTGAGGAAAGGAAACCACCTTGCTGTCTTAATTTGTCGTACTTACCGCAGTCGAACTCGTCCCAGGCATACGAGCATTCCCCGATCCCACTGCAAACATGCTCCGAGTTCACGCAAAATCCGTCCGAAGGACACAAGAACGCTTCTTGTCCGGAGCAAGGAGGAGCTATATCATAAAAAAGAGCTATTTTGTAAAAATTTGTAAGCAAGAAGTTGTCAGCAAGAATTATTTACACTAGTTGGCGTTCGTGTAAAATTACAATATTACGGTGTACAGCGATATTTAAAATCTATGAAACCACGAACTCATTGGCAGTATCGCACAGACGTATTGAAGATCATTAGGAAAATGACGTGTGGTCAGGGTACAAGATACCAGGTTTCACAGTAGTCCAAATTAGTTTGATACTCTCCCCGGATAATGTGCAATTACCAAATATCTGACTTAAACCGGACTGGGTCCATTTATCTCAAACAGAGCGGTTCATTTTACTTCCTTTGTTCGATTTTATGAAGCTGTTTAACAGAAAATATTGTTCATCAAATTGATACACCAGGCCAAAATAAGCCAATCACAAATCATAAATATTTTCACAGCTATTTCCCGCGCCTTACAAACTTCTCTGGCCCTTAGTGTGATGCAAAATATTTTCCTTCTTATATTGTTACCGCATCCATATTCGTCCTCCATCACTTGGCAATCCGGTGCACCATCGCATCGTCTGGTTGCCGCCACGCACTGCTGGTTGTGACACTGAAATTCGGTTGGTTTACACTCTAGATAAAAGAGCAAGGGTAAATGTCTCCATACAGTACATGTAGCAATATATATATACAATGAATTGCCGCTACCACTTACCACTTATTCGTCTAAAATTGTGTCTCTAAATTTAAGCCCTCCGTGTTTTTCGCTCTGAGTAATATGCTCACGATGAGTAATACGCTAACAATGAGTTACCTTGCTTTAAATACGCAGTCAGTCTGATCTCAAAAACAGCCCTTCTGTAGTGAATAACTGGAGATATGTCGGTCAGCAGCCAGAGATTGGTCTCGTTTGTGTACATGATCTGCAGTTCTCCAGCACCCAGACTGAACAATGCCTTTGAAGCTTCCCTGACCCCCTCCTCGCAGACGGCTCCCAGAGAAATGGCGGGGCCGACATTGTTGTTGGCAAGGACGTTGATCTCGACGATTGTGCCGTTAGGAGCCCGGATCAGCCAGAGACAGTCGGTGTGTTGCGGATTCAGTTGGTTAGAAGATGTAGGCCTCCACGACGTGGCATAGACTATGACGTGTGGGACGCCTGGTGTCAGCGGTGGGATCGTCGTGTTCCCACACATCTCTTCTCAAAGTGAGATAAGAAAACATTCACATTTCAAAACCTTCTATACCAAATAGGCTGCTGCACTCATTGCTGATGTTCAGGTGGGTCGACTCTCGTCAACAACACCCACTTTCAAAATATAACATTTACCGATTTCAATTGAACTTACCACAGTCCACCTGGTCCGAGAAGTCGCCGCAGTCTACGTGGGAATCGCAATAGGCCGAGGCAGGCAGACACACCGAGGAGTGAGAACACAGGACGGTATTTGTGTCACAAATACCTGATTGAGGCATAGACAGAAAACAGGGAACAAAAAGGCAAAATAGTCAAGAGCAATACGGGACGCACAAGCGAGGCTGAATGTACCCTCAATGTACAGATGGTTTTCGTAGAGTAAGTAAAGGATATCTGGTTCCTCTGATTTGGTTTAACAACTTGAGAGTGCCCTGACCTCTCAAAAGCACCCGAACGTACCTGGGTTTTCCCGCTGGGTGAACATCAACTCGAATTGGACACATGATGGAGAGACTCGTGCCTGCGCCGTGACCTCCACCCAGGCCAAACTGCTATTGACAAAATAGACCCTTCCGTCGTCCAGCTGCGGCACCTGATGCAGTCTGATCCTGGACAGGGCAGTGGAGTCAGACGGCTCATTACCCTCGCCTATCTTCACCTCGTCTTGGTTTTCAGGGTCGAAGCCGAAGGAGGTCTGCCTGGGATGGTGCTTCAGGATCTGGAGATAGATGGAGGATCCAGGTTCGCTGGTGACGAGCCAGGTGCAAGCTAGGCTGGCCAGGCAAGCGCTGGAGGCCGGCGGGGCCTGTACGGTGACATCCGGTGATCTCGCGTTGAGTTGAATGCTGACATCGCCGCAATCGTAGGCATCTTTGAGTGGAATTGGAAACCATAATTGAGGATCTCTTTTCAAGCAAACAATCGTGAGGTTGACAGATAGGCCTTAATCAAGAGTGCAATCTTGAGCAGTGGCGTAGCTGGGATGGGGTCGGGGTGGATAGTGACCAGCTAGAGATTTTAAAAGCGAACTCGGGATGTACACTGATAGAAGCAAAATCGGTCGATGAAAATGGATTAACGGGGGATCGATTTTGCAATGGGCAAACAAAACCTTGGCTGCTCACCTGATCTTCACAGATGAGAACCAATGCAGGCCTATTTATGGTAATGATGTGTTTTGCAACTGCTAGCTAGTTAAAGCCTGATCATTGAAAAGTAGTACAGACCATTATGGATTTGGCCACGAGTCCCGCCCCCTCTGATTCATGCACATTTCTTACAGTGTTTCTGACCGAGTTCAACATCTTACAACGATCACTTGACCATACGGCGTGAAAGCGATCAGTGCGCATTGTTTAATAGACAGAGAGAGGGTTCGGTTGCCTCGGACAATTCATGCTCCATCGGTTTTAAACAAGTAGCTTTAAAACTGACTAGGGGCCTTGACGCTGATAATGGCCGGCCCTAGAGAAACCAGGTTCCTAGCTGCTTTAAAAAAATGGAAATGGAAATCTGACTCCTTTACCCTTTTATTGGTTAAACCCTCTCACGTGACCGGTCACCTGCTAATTATTTTCGCTTAGGCATGCGCGATATTACCAATGAGTCCGTATTTCATGAAAACCTAAATTCACGCTATACGCCGGCCAAGCACATATTTATTCCCATTCATAAATACATTTTGTTCGAAAAGTCAAGACAAGTACTTTTCCTCGATAACCAGAGCTCGCCATTTTGAATTCACTCACCCGTGATTCCGTAGTTTAGTGAGGGAACGGTCCAGAAAGTTGCCTGTAACACGACTAGCGTGCTCACGAAGAACATGGTGACGAAAGCTCTTTTTCGGCCTCCTCCGCTGAACGGAGAGTACAAGTCCGAGTAGATTATCCTCGTGATAAATCAAACTGCTGACGGGAAAAATGGCATTCATCTGTATTAATTGTTTACAGATAAAACAATGGAACGTCGCTATACCGATCAACGCTATACCGAACATTCGGCTATACCGAATATCATCCTTGGCTCCCGATTTTTGTGTACAAAACGTACCGAAAAGTTTTGTTGAAAAATGTCAACAGAAGAGAGACAAGTGGCTATTATTATTAGCCCAAGGAATAGAGGGGGAAAGCCACCTATTGCTGTAGGTAGTAAGCTAAAAAAAAAAACCTGTGTAATTACATAATTCAATAGTCGGCACGTGTTCAAAGTCATCTTTCAGTATAAACTACCAGGCGTGTAGGGTGAAGTTCTGAAGGGCGCTATTTATTGAAAAGTGAGTACCGGAGCACCGGCAGCTTAAAATCAATACACCGAACGATCGCTATTACGAACAATTTCTGTGGATCCGGCGATGTTCGTTATAGCGGCGTTCCACTTGTAAGTGCAACTAATATTTTTGAGAGCATAATTTGCCACTTCGGCTGAATGGCGCCATCAAACTCAAACTATTATGTCTTGAAAGTCATTTGGTCAAGTCTCTCCACACAAACCGGTTGACACCAAGAAGCAAGGTAACGGCTTGTTCACCGAACTCTTGTCAGTATTGTTTTTTTTCTAATCAAGTATTTTAAGCACAACAATTGAAACATTTGTAAAAGTGTGTGCCTAGCCTCATGTGCGTGCCTGTTGCGGCGAAATTATTCCCACTCCAATACATCGCGAGCGACTCTAATTCGATTAGTCGGTGCATTAACACGGAACTGGGGCGCACAGCAACAGACGAATTCGTGTTATTTTTGTTGGATCTTTTTGTTTCCTTCAAAGTGCGGATAATTTTTAAATGCAGCCCCACTTAGTCCGAGCGACACTATTACGGTTCGTAAAAAGCTGTCCCTCAAATGATACAGGTTATTTAAAATAGCACCCTTCCACTCTATCTCGTGGAAATGGTCAAACTGTCGTCTTCGTTTAAGCACGTCTTATTGTTGTTGTTGTTGTTGTTGTTTTTAACTTGAAGCCCTATTTATCCTGTTTAAGGTTTTCTGAGTTTTGGTGAAATCTGCCCCACCAGATTGATTCCTAACTGAATTGCATTTCGACAGAACTTCAGGATATTTTTTTGTACCCCTTTTTAATGTGTTGATCAGGTTAAAAAATTGCAAATTCTATCCAATAAGTTGTTGTAGGTTGTATTTTGTTTTCTTTTCCCACTATTACATGATAAATACAACAAATACATTTTAAATGTAATTACCAAAAACAATATGGTGGAGAACCTTTATAGGAATACTCATATCTGAAAGACAGTCAGATTAATACTCTTTACTCGCCAATGATGTTTGAAGATAGAGGCCTTCGTGTACCACTTCCTTGATGCTCCAAATGCAACTCGCTATGAGGCACAACATCATGATGGAAATCATAACGGAAATCCAATTCTGTTCATGTTTCTTTAAACATCACTTATAAAGCTACAAGTCGTATGTCTGGTTGTGTTCACAATGTTTTACCCAAACTGTTCCAAGAGGGTTTTTACATACCATTTTCAAAACAAAGGAACTCGGTGATGCATTAAAAGATGCGTGCATTCAAGATATCATAGTTAATAACAAAACCATTATGGTAATAAATTTCATAGTTTGTTAATTATTATCCTTTCGTGGATTACCTGTTTATAGTTTTTCAAAATATTTTATAAGTACACATGCAATCTTCGGCTCCTACTCCCAAAAGAGCCAGGAGTTGTCAAATGTTGTCAAATATAGCGACGAGACGTTCAGTGTGAATTTGATCGAATCCAATTTATCGAGTTTTAAATCGAATTGATAGAGGCCCACTCGATATTGTCTTTTTTAAACTCAGTGAAATCACAGTGAAAGCACATTGCTTTTGGAACCGAGAGAGATATTGCAAGTTTATTCTCACTCACCCTGTTTTGATGTCTGATGTATTTCCTAAGACATCTTTTCGGAACAAAGGTTTTCCCCAGACCGGACTCAGTTCAATGATGTATCGGCGAATCCTAGCAATTCTGAGCTAGCTTCCGAACATCCCAATTCTGGTCTTCTTGCTACAGCGTTGCACCTAGGGTGATAGCTCTTCCCCCTCAAATAGATGGAAACCGGTCTGCGCCGTTTGCTGCTTTGCGTCGTATATTATACCTTTGTATGTACTCGACTGAGATGTCTCTAAGTGGCACCAAACGTTATGCCTCGCGCTGTTGATATTAGGGGCGAGTAGAGTTGTATTTGTTGCCGGTGGTCGTGACATTGTGAAACAATTTTGTTCAGTTCAAATTAGGGGTGAACAATTTTGTTTCGTTCAAATTGGGGCTCGGTCGATCGTCACGAAGCATGGATTGATTTTGTGTCTTATTTTGTACTTTACTGAAGCAGGGATTTTTTTTCGAAAGCAAACAATTTAAATCGCCAATTTTGTCAAAAGGTCTGGTGTGGTTTGAGGATTTGTATGGCGGTAGTAGATATACTGTAGTGCAAATTAAGAGAACTTTGCGGAGGCACGTTTTGAAGTGACCGACTATGAAAACTTTGTTTCTAGAAAAAAGCCCGAAAATCTTATTTTGCTTCGGTCAGTGTTTTTTACCGTGGGGAGAAAAATATTTTGATGATGATGGAATCGAACTGACCGAAACGTCGAGTGAAGGGAAGAATGCAAAATTAAACACACATCTGAACTCGAATTTTATCTTGCGGTTTTACAAGGTTTAGCAGGGTTTTGTGGGATTTTCTCGCTTGTTTTTTTTTAATCGATTAAAATGTGTTTCCTTGTTTCAATTCAATTCAATTCAATCCATATATATTTACATAATGCCACAATACTTTAATAAAACAATGTCCAAAAGTGAAGTAATACATAATATTATTAAGATTACACGTGTAGATTGATAAGAAAGAAAGACCAATAAATCGATAGGCAATTATGGAGACATCTTGCGAAGCTGGGGGCTTATATGAAGATGCCTTAACAAAACAAAACCAAAATGACAACTCAACAACTACTGAGACAGACTAACAATCGGACAAACAAAAATACAATACACATGGGATGAATGTAAATATTTAGGGCTGAAACAAAATAGATAATGCCATAAATGAATAACTCATGCAACTAGTCAAAGATCAAAACTGTGCATTAATGTTTGAGTAAAAACATAATCGAAAACAAATATATAAATAAACAGATGGATCAGCTGATCAAATAAACAATGAAAAAAAATCAAACACAATAAAGTTAACAGTAAGGAATTAGTTAACAATCAAAATGAATATTAGACAACAAATTCATTATAATCTTACGCACAATATACAAACAACACAATCAAATGGCAATAAAAAGTACACGAAGAAAATAAATTGTAAATGAGACAATCATGCAATGGTGAACAAATATATAAGCCATCAGTAAACAAATATACACCTGTTGGGGTAGATAATTTTAACGCAATTACCAAATAACAAATCAATTATTCAGAGCATAAATAAAATTTAATAACAGACATATAACTGACACAAAGCACTATAAATCAACACGTGAATACTTTAAAAAATACTTATTTACATGCCTTGTCTTCGGATGTTAAGATAAGTGGACGATTATGTCCGGCAACACTTGTGACGATGCGTTTCTAGACATTGAAAATGGTACTTTGGTTGTAAAAACAGAAACATGACAGAGAAGAAGAACAGGTGCAAAACCAAATCTAAATGAAGAACTAACTTTTAACACTTTCGAGAGGTAAATCCAAATTACAATTTAAGGTCTTGAACTTAATCACTAGCTTCAAGATTACTTGTAGGAGTACAATTTCAGTACATTTGTTTGTATCATTATCAAGTTGAGAATTCTATAAGCCATTTGTAGCTGCGGGTATATCAGCTCAACAAATCACTGTGTCTCTCCGCAAGTGAGTTAGTAACAAACTTTGACATTGTCTATTGCTCCTTTATATTTTGACTGATTTCAACTAAACTTTGTCAAAAGTATCAGTAGCCCAGCCCCAACATGTCACATGACCAAACAGGGGTCAAATGCAAATGATGGACTCCAGCTTCAAGTGTAACTTTCACGCTCCAGACGTGCAGAGCCAATTGCTGTGTTGGACAAAATAGATGAGGTTGTCTTCTGCTCCATTGGTGGCTTGGAGATGAGCCAAACCTTCGGCTTCCGTTCTTTCTTCAGGGCTTGTTTCGCCTGTTGCTGGCGGCTGACCATGGTCACGATGGTATAGAGATAAGGGTTGAGGGAGGAATTGATGGGCAGGACAAAGACAACCAACCAGGCGTAGACTTCCGGCTGGATCTGAATCACACTGGTCTGGGACAGGATGCCAAGAATAATGACAGGCATCCAACACAGGAAATCAGAGCCCACGATGACGGCCATCTTTGACGCCATCTTGATTTCTTCATCCTTGTGCGATTGGTGGCGCTTCACGCGCCGGATTGACCTCTTGACCTTTGCAAAGATGGCGGCGTAGCAAACGCTGACCAGGAGGAAACAGACGAGGTTGACACCGAGAAACAACACGATGGAGTATAACCATGTGGGTTTGCTGCCCTGGGGATGAGGGATCAAAAAGGTGTCGTTACCAAGCCCGCCACCAAGATCTTCCTCTTTAAAGGTGAAAGTGACTGGCCTGGTGAGTAACGGCAGACCAATGCAAACATCGGATAATCCGTAGATATCCGAGTCGCTGGTTACCAGGACCGTTGGAACGAGGCTTGCTACCAAGCATGTGACCCAAATCGAGGCTGTGAAAACCCATACCGAGTTCTCCTGGAGACGAACTCGGCTGAACGGATGGACGATGCACAGATAGCGATCCACGCTGATCAAGGTGATGAAGAACACGGAGGCTTCTGAGGACAACACTGAAATGACCCCTGCTGCCTTACAGAGGGCGCTGTTCCTCCACTCCGTAGCCGTCAGGTAGTACTCCTCTTTCTTGATGACGTCGACGGTGGCGATGATCACCATGTACACGCCCATCAGGAAATCGGACATGGCCAGGTTCAGCACCAGAAACGAGTGCACGTACTTGCTGCCCTTGCCGCTGTCATCCCGGATCCGCCAGGCGATGACCAACAGGTTGCCGATGAGGGCGCTAAAGCCCAGGATCCACATGAAGACCTGGAGGACAGTGTTGGGCATTAGCCGGCCGCAGTTGAACAGCGGTGACTCAAGCTGGATGTTGATGCACTGATTGTCATCTGGAAGCAGCGACTTGAAGTCACAGCACAGGCGATGGTCATCTACATATCTGTGTGTACATCAACCATAAAAAAGGGTAAATTAATGATTCAAGCCTAAAGCATAGAACTAACACAAGTTTAGTCAAGCAGACCAACACCGCAAATCTGGTAGGAACTGGTGTTACATGGCAGTATCTCACCGTGACACAACTTAACATATCTGCTTAATTTGTAATTAGAAGGTACTTTCTTTTCATCAGAATTTGTCAGTATTAATTTATCAAACTCTTACATTGTCTGAAGTGATTTGAGGTCTCTAATGGCGTCGTTATCCACTTCCGTCGCCTGTTGGTAACCCTTGGACGGATCTGAGCTCACTGTACCATCGCCACGCATCAATACCCTGAACGTTTGAGAAATTAAAGTTGACATAAGCGTCTAAAGTTGGTAAAATGTGGATATCAAAGTGACTGTAAGACGTAAAAGAGTTGTGTATCTGGAATTAATGTTGCATCCCGAGTTATTATTAACTGGAAAATGGGGACAAAGTGATGTAACTGTTCCTTCAAATGTTCACATGAGTGGGTTGTTGCCAGTCGCACCAGTAAGTTTTTTTTTTCACCGCGCTCAAAAAACTCACAATCTGCGAAGATGACCCAATCCGTTGAAGGCCCCGGCTCTGATGTATTGAATAGGCACTGATCGTATTCCCCTGATGAAGAGGGAGAGAAAACAAATTTAATTAAAGCTGTATATCTTTTTAATGTCGCAGCGATCTGTTTTTTTTTTCTACATGATTAGTTTGCTTATTCGCACTAGTGATGAATTGTGTGTTGTTTGTTTGTTTACAAACAAGGGTTGTTTTGGTATCAGCATTCGGTGTATTTTAATGTGTACGAATTCATAACATGTTCTGCCAGACCGTTTCCTTAACATCCAAGTAAAACGTACTGTTTTTTTTCTCATTAGGTTGTGTTTTTATTCCAGAGTTTCCCTAAATTCTGTGGTTGTATGACCTCCTTTTTCCGTCAAAAATGTTCGCCCACTATAGCATGTTTTTACTTGAGCAAGTAGTCGGTAACAGAATTATACTTACAAATTTTGCAGCATCGCGAGCTCGCTGAAAACACCCCAAGTCAACTCGGCAAGGTTGTTTTCTGATAAATCCCTGATAGAGAGAAAATGTACTTGTGAATTCAGTATCGGTGTTTTAAACAATTAACAATGGCGAAAGTCGTGTCTGTTCTAGGTTTTTCTCCACCTCTGAATACTAGTAATTTTTTTAAATTAGGATTCTGCAGAAATGCAATGCAAGGTCTTTCTGTTTGTCAACATTTGCATTAAATTATGTTAAAAGATTGTCACTTCATAAACTTGATATGTATTTTATAGAAACCGACTCCTTGCAACTAACAGCAGTATTATTACTTACAATGACTTCAGATTAACCAGGCCTGCGAATGTATTTTGCTTGAGTTGGAATATGTTGTTGTTCCTCAAGGACCTCAGAGTATTTGAAACAATAAAAGAGCAAAATACAAAAACGTTATTAAAAAGTGTTGTCAGGGTACTATAAAGTGCAAGTACTCTTTAAATTCCAAAGAGTGAAATTAGGGACTAGACGTTATAGAGTGAAAATCACTCTCATTTTCGATTGAAATAGTCTGAAAAATGAACCACTTCAGTCGAAGCTCGAGTGAAAACTCGATCTTAACGATTGACAAAATTTCACTCCAAAATGTCTAGTCCCTATAGTTTCCGAGTGTGAAGTGAATCTTCACTCGAATGGAGCGAATTTTTCTTTTTGGAATTTAGAGAGTAATGTTTAACTTGGAAATAGGAATAATAACTTTCAGCGAAGCTGCTGCTTACAGGGGAACTGTACCAAGCATGCCTCAAATACTCCCACTCAAAAATCAAAAAAAAAAATTGGTCGAGGAACTCACAGTCTCAGAAGCAATCCCTGTTTCTTGAAAAGTCCTTCGTTTAGTGTTGTCATGTTGCCCTTTGTTAGTTCCCTGTCAAAGAAAGAACCTATTTGAAACAAGCCCTTACACATACCTTAACTACTGTTTCGCGGTTGCACTTCAATTATACATAATAACAAAATTGATATTTTATATGAGACAACCTATTGAAATGAAACGTTGATTATGAATTGTTGATTTAGAAGCCTTCAAGGTGACATAGTAATGGTCAGGTATTGTAATTATTAGGTGAAGTCGACATTGATTAGTGGAACACTTTGTTGAAATTCTGGACAGCAAATTCTAACGTCAGAGATCTTGAATCTTTCTATCCTCCTTCCCATAATTCGCAAATGGTGTCATCTTGATTAAGTGTCAGATGTTGATGAGTTGAAGGTTGTATTCACTCTAAAGATAGATACTGAATGACGTCATCGACATGACGTCATTTATTCAGATGGGTTTAGGGGCGTTGCGCTTCTTCATTACAACACTTACAAAGTTGCCGTAACTTTAGCCAACTGGTCCACTGTTTCTGCATTCCAACCTTTCTTGCATTTCACATCCAGATCACCTTTGACCATGGAACAGTTGCATCCGGTCGGGCATTTCTTAACGTCTGGATTTGTTTACATAAAAATAAAGAAACATTTGTTTACATAAAAACAAACAAACAAACAAACAAACAAACAACCCAGCAAACAAACAAACGAATAATGAATGTTTCGCTTTATATAACCACAGAAAGTGAAATACAAAGCCCGAGTCGATTTCAGAACATAGCTGGCGAAATACATTCGTAACAATTGTTTTGTTTATTCTAAGACAAGATAAGTTTGCGGTAGCACCATGTGAATAAATATCTTTTGTGAGTATGTGTGGTTTTGAAAAGAACCGGAGTGTCTCAACGTTTCGAACAGTATGCTCTACCCTACATCTTACCATGTACCCAACATTCTACCCAACATCTTACCATGTTCGCATCTGCCATGTTATGAACCATCAACTACCACAAGCTTCGAAAATTAAAAGAAAAAAAATGCCCCAAAGCAATAATAGCTAATGGACATCACTGGAAAGCTCAAGCCCTGATTACACCTGCCACTAACCGCATTCCGTTTCGTCGTCGTGAAACAACTGACAGTCCACCTTCCCGTCACATACAGAGTCCTGCAGAAGACATTGCTGTTTCCCCTGACACACGTACAGCTGGCTGTCGCACGTCAAACTCACTGTTTAATTAGAGTTGAAAGAAAATACATCAATACTCGCTCAGTCACTAACTAGTCCACAATGGCACTTACACGGTCATTGGTTTTTATAACTCTTCTTCATTTGGGTGACTTCTTTGTGGACAATTTTGTTTCTTTGGTTAACGCTTGCTTGGAATACATGATGGTTCACGGGAGTACTGTTTTTATATTTCGTGCCCTGTATGATGTTGTTAAAAAGCAAGAATCACAGCAGATCTAAAAGAGAGGTCATTTTTTATTGAGAAGAGTGCCACCAACCACATTTGTTTTCGTCACTTTCATCCATGCAGTCCGCTATGCCATCACAGTAGGCGTTTGGCAACAGACAGAGGCTGGTTCCCTCTTGATGGGAGCACCGCGCTGAGCACTCCAATTCATCTTTATTGTCTTGAGAGTAAAAAAAGGTCATCGCAGACACAAAAAAGAAAATGAAAGGAAAGGTGATTTCAGACATCAATAAATACAGTTTTGGGATGATTTCTCTCCTTATTAGTGTGACAGGTGTACAAGATGACTTTGATTGCCCTTTATACGAAAGTAGACAGTCACAAATACATTTTATGGAATTCTCCTACCCATAGGGCTCATAGTAATATTGAATCCCCTTCTAGAGACGCTACTGTCCGTCTTGAGCTCAAGCCAAACCCTGCCGCTCTCAAAGGACATCTGAGAGACCTTGGTGGTCCCGGTCAGACTGGCCAACACCAGGCCCTCGCTGCTGTCGTTGCCGACCCCGATGTGCAGGTAGTCGTAGCTTTGCTCCAGGTGGAAGGTGTTGACGACCAGTCGGAGTTTCTCTCGGCTGCTGGCGAGGATGACCTCCCAGACACACGTGAGGGAGTCCGGGTAGATGCCGTACTGGTAGAGCGGGGAGGTGAGCTCGTACTCTGCCTGGCCGATGTCGATCAGGGTATCGCCACAAATATCTTGGCAAACAGAGGAAGAAAGTCGGTCATCAGTTGGTACATGAATGACAAATGCCGCAGATGCTATCGTACGCACCACGAAGTAACATATCGTGTGTTTGGATGACACAAGAGATACGCCACGGCGTCGTAAACCCCAACGTGACGGATTCGTCAGTTCGTTGATGGTGCAACTGCGATCCTCCTGTTAGTTTCTTTCTAACCCCTCCTTCAGGCCACATGCTGCCAATCGTTTACGCTGGGATGTGGTACCGGGTAAATTGTTAAAAACCTGTTGGAATAGATTTGGTAATCTATATACAATTTACAATATTCCTGTTCTTTCCAGACGACGACGATGACGTAGCAGCGGGGTTAAGTCACCTAAGTTAAAGACAAGTACACAACTACTCTAAATAGTAAAACGTAATCATACAACTTTGAGAATAGTGATTCTATTCTATCAGTGTGGTAACACCCTTTCCTTCTTCAAGGCTGATCTTTTTTGACTGAGACCTCACCTCCACAGTTTTCCTCATCCGTGTTGCCAGGGCAATGACCTCTACCATCGCAGACCTTCTGCGCCGATATGCAAATCAGCAAGGCGGTGCCGTTACAGGGCACTTGACCTTCACCGCAAGATGCTGCTTGCGAAAGAAAGTTTTTCATCTTTCAAAATCTGAGACTAATAAACCTACAAGGGTAGGTACAAGGAAATTACATTCCTTTACATTTACATGTGCTATCTCACATCATTCGCAATTGCATGCAACTAAAAATAACTACGCAGTGGTAATTTGCAAGTCAAAGACGGCTAGCCTCAAGAAAAAAGGCAAAGCAACCATTTCGTATTGACAACCAAACGTAACCAAAGTAGTATTTGACTCACCGAGAAAATTAGGCATCACAGAACACATACAGCAAACTAAATCACATGATGGGGTCCCGACGATGTACAATGGCAGAGAACCATTTGAATACAGGTATTGATTATTTGGATTGGGGAAACCGCGCCCCAACAGCAGGGGTTAAGTTTAACAAATTGTGCAACTGTGCAGGAAAATGTTTGAACCGTAGAAAGTGGATATTACACACGAAACTGTAACTATTATTCCAAAGAATGACTGCAAAGAAAAAAAAATGACTAACCATTTTGGACTTGTTCCAACTTGATTTGAAAACCTGTGAATCGTACAACGTAGTCCGACGTGAATGAGAGCCATATCTCTGCCGAGTAGAGAGACACACTCTCGGGGTAATGCTGGCCGGACATACTGAACGCTTCCCCCTGCGTCTGGTTGCCAAGGGAGAGAATATCATAAGATGCCTCTGTCTCGAACTCAAGGAACACGACCACGACGTCATAGTCTGGCTCCGCGTGGACGAACCACTCACAGTGCGTGTTCAATGGGTACAAGTCTGGGTACCCGAGCGAGGTGAGAGTATGAGACCCGGAGGATAGGTAAATAGTTATATCTCCACAGGACCCTACGCGTCAAAAAAAAAAAAAGATTATCCAATGAACACGAGCTTCACACGTCAAAAATGGCACATTGATGCATGCTACTTCTTTCTACTATTTTACATACTTTAACTCAAATACTTTGGAGCATGGGTTTATAAACGTACTTTAACCTGCAAAATGAAACATTTTCGGTATTATGACACCAGAGATTTATAAAGGGTACAATTGGAGTGTCATGGCCTAGCGAATAAGAGCACCGGACTCATGCTCTGGTGTTTCAGAGGAAAACAGTGGCGTGGGTTCGAGCCCGGGCCCAGACACTTGTGCCCTTAAGCAAGGCACTTAACCATTATTGCTTCGTCCTTCGGATGGGACGTAAAGCCGTCGGTCCCGTGTGTTGTGAAATGCAATGCACGTAAAAGAACCCAGTAACACTTATCACTAAGAGAAGGGATTTGCCCAGGTGTTTCTGGAATCCTAGTTATACTCCCTTGTGGAAGTCCTACAGGAGAAGAACCAACCAAGTAACCAAGTACCAAGTTGACTTACCGCATTGTTCCTCGTCGGAACGGTCCATACAATCGTAGTTAGCATCACATAGTGACGACGGATTTACACAGTCGTCGCCATGACTACACTTGTATTTGCCACTGCCGCAGCCTAGTACAAAGAGAGAAAAGCATAAACAGAGTAAGCTAAAAAAAAATCCGTTTGTAACTTACGGTTTGTAAATTCGGTTTGTAAATTACGCAGCTAGCTAATGATCGGCCCTTAGCAATTCTTCCCGACACATTGTTTGTGTCATTCTGTGATAGGCTCTTCGTGAAACTATTCTGTAGAAACGAGATGCGGAGATTTTCTATTTTAAAGTAGCCTCACCACAGTCAAATTCGTCATCGAATTCTGGGCAGTCGGGTTTCCCATCGCAGACTTGACTAGCGTTGATGCACAGTATCCCCGCAGAACAAGCGAACTTTCCACCTTCACACCCTGTAAGAATATTGGAGGTACAAAAATTATCCATTGCATAATTCGGTTTGATAAATGCTGACGACATACCACACATACAGTGTGTATACGTGGTGGAGGGCAAAACCTAATATTGATTGCCATACTGCTACATGTTGACTTTTTGGACACTTTAGAAGGTCAAGCATTTTCGTTTGAGAAACCTCGTTCCATTATTAGACTGATTTCTCCCTCTTTCTACTGTCTCCAATGGCAGGTCCTAAAGTCAGATTGGCTAACCATCTGGTTGGGATGACATGCTTTAAATCCTATCAGAACTCTTCAATCTTGTGGGGTTTTTTCTGTCGGAGAAACCCGAAACCCATCCCCAGACAAAACTACAAACCTCCAGACTCGTCAGCAAATTGCAAAGCATAATATACCTTGCACGTCATACTCAGCAGTCGTCACCAACATATTGGTTTACCTTTGAAACTTCCTTTTTAATTGCAACCCGAATTCCCTCCGAAAGAAAGGGAAAAATATCCGATGTCATCGAGGCAAACCATCAAACCTCATCTGCACCTGGTACTCATTGATTTTGTTCATCTCCTCGTGAAAGCTATAGACAAGGAAACATCTTTTAATCTGCATTGCTTTCCTTGGCATTCTTAATTACCCTCAGATAAAAAAGGGAGACCATTTCTAGAAACCTCTGAGTCATATGCAAAGCGCACCTTGCACTTCGTACTCAGTGATGTTCATCTCAACTCGGAGACGCCCGGGTGAGTTATAATTCCTCCCCCGGTAGATGACGTCCAGCTGAATCCAGACCAGCGGACCAGCCATCGTCAAGACCTTTGGGTACAGCCTGGCTGAGGCCACCTTCCAGACTCGCCCCCTGTAAGGCAGTTGCCCGTAACCGATATAGAACTTGGCGATGTCTTTGCGTCTCGAAGTGTCCACGTGGACGGCTAAGGGGAGAGACACGAAGTCCAGACGGATTCTAGAACGGTTGTTGGAGGTGGTCAGGAACCAGACGCAGTCGACTGTGACGTCGATCGGCCGCACGATGTTAATGGTGCTCCCTGGTGTCAGGGTGAGATAAGGATTGCCGTATCGTCCTGGGTGAGATGTTAAAGAAAACGAGAAAGTCTGATTTAAACCCGAGGTATATAAACAGATGTATACGACGTACACCCCTTTGCAAGTCTGTGAGAGGTAGCTATCTTTTTAATTGCCTCTTCCAATCATGATTCAAAGCGGGAAAGTGCAAGTGTCATTTTACATTTTACTACCAAATATCTGCCTGTGTAGGGATGATTTGCTTGGGCGTGGGCAGTAGTTGAGGGGATATGATACAATCCAAGTGAGCTACAGTAAATTATCTTGCTCGTAGACACCTCTGGGACCCAGGCAACACGACCAAAAAAATACAGAATTCTCACCGCCGCAGTCAACTTCCTCCATCTTTCCCCCGCAATAGCCGTGACCGTCGCAGACTCTGTCCCGGTGGATGCATTTGCCCGAAGAGGGACATCCATACTCATCGCTGGTGCAATTATTTCCTGTGGTAAACAAACAAGTTTGCATGTTTTGAACCACTGTGTTAAAGTTGACAACGTCACAGGACGTTTTGCAATCGCTCGGCGTTTCGATTCCGCCAGAAATCGAGGAGAAAGAGATGACAGAAAATAAAGGCAAACACCTGTTTGCCAAATTAAATGCCAGATCTCAGTGCAGAAAATCAGTGGTCGGAATGCTATTAAGTAAAATACTTAAAACAAAATACAGTAGCTTTCATATCACCTTTCTAAAAAAAAAAAGATCAAAATTTAATATTGAATTGGTGTATACACTCGAATCATACCTTTCACGCTACATCCATATTCGTCCTCCTTTACTGGACAATCCGGAAAACCATCACACCGTCTGGTTTCCGCCACACACTGCTGGTTCTGGCACTGGAATTCCCCAGGACCACATCCTAGAAAAGAAGTCTTGTGTTAGTTTATAGAAGCGTCAGAGAATTTGGATACAATTTGTAAATAAATAGCACAACACGACTGTCTCTGAATGTTTTATCCTTCCATTGTCATTCACCTTGCTTTTCAAAAGCCGTCACTTTGATCTTATACACCGTTCGTCTCAGATATTGGACGGGCGACAAGTCTGCAAAGATCCATATACTGGTCAGATTTGTGTAGAAGATCCTCATTTTTTCCACGGCAAGGCTGAAGAGCATCTCGGTGTCTTGGTTAGCGCCCTCTACGGCTGAGCCGGCCGAAGTGGCCGGGCCGACCGCGTTGTTTTCCAGGATGTTGACCTCGAGGATGCTGCCCTCTGGAATCCTGACAAGCCAGAAGCAGTCGACATTGGGCGGATCCCATTCATGGTCTCTTTCGATCCAAGTGGAGGCGTAGGTCATGACGTGAGAGGTACCTGGTGTCAGCGGTGGGATGACGGTGTTTCCACACATTTCTACGGGAACATGTTATATGCACACGTACATGTTAACACGATGGTAGTCTTGGCCAGAAACCCAGCAGTCACAGCAGGCGATTTGCTAACACTACAAGAGGTTGAACGATTTTAACCATAGCTGGTTTTCAAAATAATGGATTGTTGAAAATTGTTTCCACAGGGTTTGAAAGGTCGTGTTGGCAAACATAACGATTAAAATCCAGAATCCAGGGTTGGTGGTTTATACATCTGCATTGATGTAATTTTCTGTACTTTTACAGAAAAAAAAGAGGGCGACCTATTATTATCTGCACCATTTGAACAAAAGGCTGTAGAGAGTATTGACGGTCGTAGCATGCGGCTGCCCTATAAGACATCATTTTGGTGATTTGAAATTGACACTGCGTGGACTATTTCTTTTAATCGGTTATGCAAATAGAGGTCAGGGGTTATCCTTCGGGGTAAAGTCTTACCGCAGTCGACCTGGTCCGAGAAGTCCCCGCAATCCAGGTGGGCGTCGCAATAGGCTGACGGCGGCAGGCAGACTAAGGAATAGGAGCAAAGTGTGGTGCCTTGCTCGCAAAAACCTGGTATTGGTCAAAAAGGTGAAAGAAACATGACTCACATGAGAATTTTGTCTTAGGAGGTATCCGTATCACATTGCTACGACCGGGAATAATACGCTCACCGACGGAAGCCACGGCTAGCGGCTGTAGCCACTTCCCAAAGGCTCGAGCCATATAGCCATACGCGATTCCCATCCGGCCTTAGTAGGGGCTCCATACAAATGTATTGTTGTTATATGAGACAATGCGAAATAATGCTTTATTATTAGGCTATAACAAGCGATCGAGGCTTTTGATTTTGGACTGATTCTCTTTTCCGCGATGTAATGGATGCTATAGATGGATATCGTTAGGTTGGGTAAAGCTTTGCACACTCGGCTACATCTTTCGAGACCACATCCCTGAAAAGGCAGGTATGCCATCAGTGTATCCTACCCGTCATATCATATGGTGCCGAGACATAGACTACCACCTACCGTCTACAGAAAAAAAACTAAGGGCGACAGAGAGGGCTGTGGAAAGAATAATGATAGGAGTAACAAAGAAGGGCAGGGTTGACAAATGAGGATCTAAGAAAGAAATGAAGAGTACAGGATATTATTCAGACCATTAAATCAAAGAAGTGGAGGTGGGCAGGTCATCTGGCGAGGAGGTATGACAATCGGTGGACGTGCAAAACAACCCACTGGACTCCAAGAAACCAAACCAGGAAAAAAGGGAGACAAAACAGAAGATGGAGGGATGAACTAACAACAAATATTGGCATTGCATGGCAAGAGACAGCTCAAGACAGAGTGAGATGGAAAATTGGTGAAGATACTTTCCTTCTGCAGTGGAGCGAAACACGCTAGACAGACAGATGAATATGGAGCCAGCCTTTCTCGCTCCGGTTCTCTGGAATCGTGGCAGCCTATGATGTTCATGCATTCTGATTTCATTGCAATGTTCATGATGTATAAAGTATGGTGAACATTAGAGTTGTGTAAATATACGTAGTGAACTAACCTGGTTCATCCCGCTGGGTGAATTGTAATTCAAACTCCACACAGTCAAGATTACCAAGCCCATGAGCAGAGACGTTGACCCAGGCTAGGCTGCTGTTCACAATGTACGTCCTACCGTCGTCCAAGAACCGGACGTAGTACAACCGCAGAGACGCCAGCGCGCTGGCCGCGTCGGACGAGTCGTTCCCCGCCCCGATCGTTAACTCGTCCCCGCTGCTGATCTTGTTGGTGTATTTTCCGCGTTGCTGTAGTACCTGGACGTAGATGTTGGAGCCGGATTGGCTTGCAATGTGCCAGGTACAGGATATACTCACCGAGCATTGGTTGAGTACGTCGGTAGGGGGCGGGGCTCGGACATGGGCGACGGGTTCCGTATCGCTCAAGAGAATGTTTGTTTCTCCACACTCTGTGTCCGCTTTTAAAATGGGAGCACAATGAATGAGACATAGATTAAGTTATTATCGCAGGAGGAATAACACGCAGTCTTACGCGGTGACACCCTACAAAAAAGTAAAATGTTATTGTTTAACTTGTTGCCCATTATTTCCCAACATCTGAACAACCCAGGGTTTTTTCTTTTAAACAAATCTTATTGCAAATTAGTAAAACTATCATTCGAATAAATAAAATAACTGACAGTTCCATCCAACTTTCTGGTAATGTAACTGTACATGGACATAATGCTTTCGGCCGCTTTGTTTTTGCCCTAGCTAATGCGGGAAATCTAGCCGACACGCTTTTACTTGTTAAGTGACAACAATGCAATTTGTTTTTACCTTGTCATAACTGCTAAACAGGCACAAGATAAACGAAGCCCAATAAATGTAGAATTGGGGACGTGTGTGATCACTGCTACATCACAAGTTGTTAACACATAGTGGAAATTGCTTGAGTGTTCTACTTCATTTTGCGACGAATAACCAAACCTCTGCCTCTTCCTTTTTCTAGAAAGTGAAATTTTTTTTGACCTGTGCAATTCCAGATAATGTCTCATGCTCCTGAATCGTGCGAACCTGGTTTGTTCACAGGCTCACACATTGAAAGTAACGTCTTTACACCTGCCTAAGCTTATACGGGAAAAGGGTGTAATTGTACAGTTCTTGTAAAGTTCTAATTACCTTTCGAAAATGATGGCCAGGTCGATAGTCCTCCAAGAACCATGATCATCAGGCCAAAGGAGAGATTCATGGCTATTGTTGATTTGGGGCGCTGACAGCAGTTTTAAGAGACGATGAGGATATGATCTAAAACAAGAAATCCAAACACAAAAAGGTGCAACTTTGTATTGCAAGTTTTGATTGAAGAAGTTATGAAGGCGAACCTAAACAGATTGTGTTTCAGCGTCTGATATCCATCGATTTAAGCGGGATTTTTTTTTTAGGGAAAGACTACTTTTCGATAGTCCTCCAAGAACCATGAATACCCGTGCCGTTGCCATGACACGTTTCAGTTTGGTCATTGTCATTAACAGATTGGTATTGGACAAACACGTGTGCCGAAAGCAAAATCCATTTAATACGTGGGGGACAGATGTGCATGCAAACTTGCTATTGGGGGCATTTGCACTGGTTGCCTTGTATAGTGGTTACTTGGGAAAAGATTGGGTCAATTTCAGTACGAGATGTCTTAATGGACGAGTTACGGCCTTGGTGCACGGACATTTATTTCAGAATTGAATAGAGAGACGGTTAAGCCTATATGACAGTCCTGCATCTTAAGGAGCTCAATCAATCATCCACAATTTCTGGGTTTTAATAATGAACCCTTGAAAAGTGGGATAAATTTGACTATCAGAAGTGGTGTCACTACGAATTTGTCACGAAGAACACAATTGGCTAAACTAAGCACGCATCATTTCAGGTCACTTGATCTTGATTAGAAATAAAAAGGGAAAATGTCTATGGTAATTGTCCGATCATACGCTATAACACGTTACTAAATAACAGTTGGACGCCAGTAGCATTGCCAAGCAACTGCTGAACTTGTCCAAATTGTTTTTAAAAGTAATTTACAAACGTGTAAAGGGAAAATGTCTATGGTAATGGTCGGATCATACGCTATAACACGTTACTAAATAACAGTTTGACGCCAGTAGCATTGCCAAGCAACTGCTGAAATTGCCCAAAGTGCTTTTAAAAGTAATTTACAAACGTGTGGGTTCGGGTTCACACATGTTGACTAGTTTGTAGCTTAAAACAGGGTCCATTTTGCTGACAGAAACTATGGGGTCTCCGTCTTCATGTCTGGGCATTCAATTGAATCGGTCATAGTAAAAGGCAATTATAAAACTCCGTCACTCGGTCACGTCACTGCTATCAAAACTGCCGTTACTCCTTTATTTTATTTTTGATAATCAACCACGTCGCTGTAGGTGCAGATTAATTGTATGTCACTAGTTTTTGACGACACAAATATCTCAAATCAAAGTGCCACACAGTTTAAGCGCCACAATCTACACCATTTAAACAGCTGCCTTTTTTAAACAATCCCCATCTCGCAATCAACTTTGACCTTTTAGTTGATTTATTGTCGGTAAACACCAATATTAGAATCGGCTTCTATTTTTAAAGCTCATGCTAGGGTCACACATTCCCGAATTAATTGTGAATACAACAAAAATAAACCAAGAATTGAAATCGGTTCCCGAATCACCCCGACAATTTTGAACATGTTCAAATTGGTCGGGGCGCTTCCCGATCTTTCACGATCTTTCACTGAACTAACAGAATCATCCCGAGGCAGCCAAGGACCATCCAAGATTTACTCAAGAATTGCTATTCTTGGCGATTCGGCTTAAAAATCGGGAATGTGTAAACTTAGCATTAAGTTACTGTAAACCTCTTTTGTGATATTCAAAGGCGAAACTGCTAAAAAAAAAAAAACATCGACACTTCTTCGTCTTTGAGCCGAATAGACTTTGTATCTACAGTTCATTTCAAGTGACATATTGAGTGCTCTTTTGGAGTACGGTATTATCACAAAATGTGGGTAAACAGCTCGAAGTGCCTTTAATATTGTTGTGGTGTGGAATACGGACGACACCTTTTACTGTATACAGAAACGACTTGTGCTGCGCGGATTGGAAATGTAGGCGCGTAACTGCTTGACATACAAACACGGCATGAACACTTCAGATTATTTGTCAGACAAGCAAAAATTGCAAATTTTAAATGCAACAATTTCAACTGTAAATTGTGCTTTTTCTGAAAACTCTTACCTGCAGTATCTAACAGAAGCGAAATCCCAAGCCTGTCACTTGCTACAAAATGGAGATAATGATGAGTTGACGAATGTAAATGCTGTGCTACAGCCTGTCGAAATACCGGGGAAAATGAAGGTCGCTTTAGAAAGATCACCGCAGTGAGATCCGCGAGCGCTCTGCTGCTCCGTTGAGATAGGCACTTATAGAACCAACGTTGACATCAACATATGAAGTACATTCAGTGATTTATCCAACTGTCCAAGGCACCAAATCTACGGGTATCTGATCCTATAAATCCTGCACACTTCTTTGCTCTTCTGAGTGTCAGTTCGGTTTCGGGTTTAAAGCAACAATATCAGCTCTCCTCCCTGTTAATTTTCTTAAAACAGAAGCAAAGCACAAGTGCCTTTTTTATATACAAACGAGGATAATGCGCAAGCCCCAGTTCGGCTGGTTTGACTGTCAGCTAAAGTACTTTCACCGGGCTAACGTCTTCAAGAGCCAATCGAGGTTGTTACTCTGTACGATAAAACCTCACGCAACACGTCAATAGGGAACAAAATCCTGAGAATGATTTGATTGGTCATCAGCGCTTCTGTTGACTTTCCACAAAGTAATTCTCCATATCCGTTCTGAGGCACGGTGAATAAAAGCACGAACCACCGCTAAGGCGCTGGCGAGCTACAGGCGTCAACATCGGAAAATGACCCCCTTCTTTAATTGACGAAAGGTGCTTTCAAGCACGTCTTGGAGAGACAGCACAGCACTTGCTTTTTTAAGATCTCTTCCGCTTTTGAACCTTGGACTATTTTTTTTTAAGCTTGAGCTTTGATATTCTAATAAAGCAATACAAGAAAGTTATCATCCAAGGCACAACACGAGCTTGACTGGCAATTTTGAATGACTACAAACCATTTAATTACCCGAAGCCACCGTTTTATCTGCTCGTCAGCCTTAATACAATACGTGTGCATAAGCAAATAACCATACGCATCATTTGATAAGTTGGTTAAAAGGTAATTCACATTTTAGTACATTAACTAAATGCTGCTATGGCCATAATCGTGTATTGAAAGGAGTCCTACCAAAGAGCATTATTTACTTAAAGGGAAAATACAACATTTGCAAACATCAAAAAATAAAACTACCAAATCATTTTGAAATACCTTGCTGGACTGTTAGTGAATGACAGTGTAAAGCATCCTGTAAAATCATGGCACCTGGTATACTGTCATTTTCAAGAAAAGTGGTATTTTTGTATCAATTTCCAACGCTGATCGGCCGACCAGCGTTGGAAAAAACTGGCTTTTTTTTCAAATACTGGCCCCAGTTGACCATCGCACTTGTTTGCAATCAATTACACATCTATGAACGGGTACAAGCCAGCTAGACTGGTTCCCTGACCTTACAATTCCCCAATGTATGTAAACTGCTCTGTTTCTTCTTAAATGGAGTCAGGGAACCAGACTACAGGAAAATGATTGTTTTTCTTGGTTTTTATAGCATTTTCGAACCCAAAACCTCAAAAAAGTCAGTGTTACTATATTTGCTATATATTTCCAACCCCCCAATTCCATCCATTTCTGAAAATTACAGCAAAAGCAAATGATGTATATTCCCTTTAAAATAATGTGAGGCGTTCTGGCAAATTGAGACGGAACTGGGCGCAGGATTTGTTTTTACGTTTTCAGATTTATTGATATTTTGTAATCTGTTATATGTCTACTATTATGTTGAAGAAACAGAATAAAAATTGTAAAAAAAGTTTTTAAAGATAAAACAACTGCCATCTTTCATTTTCAAGACTACAATTCTCCCCTTTTACTCCTTTTTTTTGGGCGGGGTGGGGGTGCAGGTGGGTCCCACGGGGGGGGGGGGGCAAGGGCGACTCCCATGTCTTTAAATATTCGGTTTTAGAGTGCACTATTGTACATGTTGTTTGTCCATGCACAGACTTTCCGCAGACAATGTTTTTTTTTCAGTCTGAAAACTGATTTCATATATATTAAGAACATTTAAGAACGCTATATAGTGTGTAACGTTAATGCAATGCAATATAAGCTCTTCACCTAATACAGGTTTTCCCGGCTATTTTAAAACATTTTTTTTGTTCGAATTCACCGATTCTTATATTCAATTTCGTCAAGCAACATTGATATAGTGCACTTTCAAAGTTTCATTTCGTCTTTTGTCAATTTCAAATTTAGTCCAAACATATTCAAACAATGAGCACACGTTTTCGACCCTATGTATTAGATTTCGTCTCGTCTACGCCGCATCGTGTATTTCAGAAATCAAATTAGTCTAATTGATTTATATGAGACGAATTCGATCTCTGAATGCTGCCATTTGGCAACGGCTTAGACGAATTTGATCTGTAATGACGAATGTTCTTGACCGAGCGACCAAACTTTGAAATTGAATGGTAAATGAAATGACTAAATAGGTTTTGTTAAAAGCATGTGAAATTTTTCTCGGACGAAATTGAATGTTAGAGTTGGTGAATCTGAATGAAAAATGTTTTAAAATAGCCGGGAAAACCTACATTATTTCGAAATTCATAGAAACGACTTTTTGATATAATTATTATACCTTACGAACGCAAAGGCACCTGAGAGAAGAACAGTTTTGATTATCGCCATTTACCCTGTTTCCCCATGTGGCCTTTACAAACATCGAAAACATTTTCTTCCAGTTTTGTTAAATTAATTACAATGAATAACAAATCTCAATGGAACAATCGTTAAGGAAACAATAAAAAAAAAATGGTATCGTTTCTATTTTGTTGTTGATAAAATCTAATTTTGAAATCTTATTTGTCTTACTGTTTACAAAAAATATTGGTGAATTCAAACAACGATAACAAAACAAGATTGTTTGTACGATTTCAAATTACACGTACATTACTTAACTAAAGACGTGAACTGGGCTACAAGTCACAGTAGTCTTCGAAAACAATTGCAAACGATTCACAATAAAGAACAAGCGATGAGAAACCGCCCTCTAGCGGTGAAATGTTTACCACCTTTGTGTCTGTGAGTGCACTAGTTGAGGGCTCACTGCTCACGGAAACAAGCAAATTGAGCGCCCTCACTTCGCTTTCATTGTTTAAAGAGCGCCCTCTCTTGTTTATGCACGCTTTTTAGACAAAGCCGTCTTCCGTATTAGAAACGCTTCATAACGACCCATTCAGTTGCTTCTGCAGGTGGGGTTGCATGTCAGATTTGAGTCACAGTCTACATCCCTCGTCTCTGCCGGCGTCGTCCGCTCGTAATACCAGTCGGCGAAGGCCTCTCTAGCCGTTCTTCCAGCCACTTTGTAAGTCATCCAGGGAGAGTCGACGCAGGTCAGGAGGTGAGCGTAGCAGGAGGTCAGGAACATGCCGTTTTTGTCGTAACGGTTGACCTGGTCCATACGCTGCAGGAAGGTTCGCCTGTGCTTCTCAATTACCCCAAGGTCTTTCTCGTTGCACTTGGAAGGGCGACAGCGAACTCCGAGAATGTTCTTCAGAGTCCAACTGTCGTAGACGGAGTTGACAACGAACACGGGGGTGGTGAGGTAAGGGTAGGTGTGCTGCGCGAAGAAACACTCCGACTTGTTCTTTTCTTTGGCCAGTAGACAGTCTTTATCAAGGCCCCCTTGGGAAACACACAGAAGAATACGAATTATTTTACGTGCTTAGACCTTGCACTACACTTTTACTCTGAGGTATAAACTTTATCTTTACGGTACTTAAAAACTTTAGGCTGTCTTTTGTGTTGCCTTCAACGAAAAAGAGAAAACCGTCTTTCTCTTATTAAGTCGCACAATTATACAATATCTGTTGCAAAAAGCTGACTATTTCTGATTAACACTCGCTTCAAATCTCGAAATAATCTGTAATAATTTAAGTAATACGCGAGACCAAACTGTAAAACTCGAGTTGTATTGAAGTCATCAAAAGTCTTTTAGTACTCATCACATGGCAAGTCTCACGTTAAATGACAATCTATGCACATGCATCCTGAACATCGATCATTAATGATGTGGCCCAACTTGTGACATGACTTGCGACTGGCCTTCGGATATTTCTCGTATAAATCTCACCTTCTATCTGTTGCATCTGGTAGACGTTCTCCATGGCGCTTTTCCATTGGGTTTTACCGCTGGTGTCCGCCTCATTAGCCAAGAAGAAACCCCCGTCTGCCATGGCTTTGAACGAGGTGTTTTTGGGAACCATTCTGCTGACACGATCAGCGTGAAGTAGGACGGCAAGTCCTCCGGCTGTGAATCAAGAATAAAGGGAGCAGCCCGTTGAGGTCATCGTCAAATAGCAAATCGCTAACATAAAAGAACCAACCCATATTAATATCATGTAGGCACTGATCCCACAGAGTTCAGTTTTTTTCTTTTACTTAAAGGCGCGCTTCGCGCACTGTGTGTGAGTCATGAAGCCAGTTATCCTGCCTGCACCAGAAATTTTCTGTGCGATAGTGATATCGATACTGCCCGTGTATGTTGAAGAAAGACCGAGGCCCACGATTTGTTTACTTTTAGCCGGTTGGTGGCAGCACACAACCTGGTGAGTCCACTACTATTTTATAGGCCTTTCTTTTGTTTGTAAACATTGGCGCCATTTTGTATGGGCTGCCGTAAGCGCGCATAATTTGAAGCCGTGGTTGGCAACATATTTTTCAAAAAAAGTCCTCATAACGCCATCAACACATAGTAAAAAGGCATAAAGAATTATTTTTTTGTAGCTTTGTTGAAAATGTTGTATTTTCAAGTATCAAATATATCTTTGGTGATTTGTAATAACTCTTTTTCACTTTTGCAGTGTTGGACCTTCCATAGTTTTGCAGGCCCTGGTTGGCAAAAATGCAGTTTGCCAACCAATTGCAGAAAGGCCTATGACTTGAGATGGCCAATAGACTGCAACACATTTTGAAAGCGAAGTCAAGGTGCACGACCGAGCAAAGCCACACGATGAACGCTTGATGGCGCTATTTAGAAAGTTAAGCTAAACGTATGCTCCACTTACCAGAATCACCGCTCAGAATGACCCTGTCGGCCCTCTGTAATCCTGCTGATTTGAGTAAGTAATTTATGACCGCATTTAGCACCCTGGATCCCCGGTAGTACATCTTCTTTTTGTTAGAAATAACGGGATCTTCTCGGTCACCTTGGGTTAACAATAATTGTTTTTGTTTTTACAGAGCTACATTTTTTAAATTCAGTCTTTTGGGCTAAGCATTAAATCTTTGGGGCTGAGTTTGCAGCGAGCCTAAATATCTAGTCATCCAAATCTTACCTCGATTTCAACAGTGCTAATGGTGAATTCAAAGCTTACTTTTAAAATCACGATTATACTGAAAGTCATACCATTGGCTTATTCTCTTTGAAATTCTTGATCACAATATTTGACATTACACTACCGCGAAAATCTAGTTGAAACCAGTTCAACTAATACTAGTTGAACTAGTAATTGGTCAGTAGTATTGAACTGAATTGAACTAGTATTACTGTTTTTAAGCCAGTTAAACCAGTTTAAAACTTTAGTCACGTAATGCGGTTTTTCGAGTTGACGGTTTCAATCGGAATTTTCACCTGGGAAATGCAAACGTTTCGTGGCACGTGACGCTAAAGTAAGAAAAGAATTTCATACCAGAAAACGAGGCTCCATCGCAGTAGTTGACGACCGCCACATTCCAGTCGTAAAAATCCGGATTGACTGTAAAACTTGATGACAGGATGCCGCCAAAGAGTTTCTTTGGACGGAGCTTGCGCGATGACCCCAGCGCGGTGGCACTGCGGCGTGCGCATTCGGCGTTGTCGTAGCACCACGCACCCTTCATTAAATGAATTATCCAGGAGTTGTGGTGTTCCTCGGAAGTCGCTGTTGAATTTTAGTGATAGGTATTAACGATTAAGAATGTGATAAACTGCTATGGAAAGAGAGGAAATTCATCGTAGTTCTAGAAGAAAACTGCACATTGGATCTTGTGTGACTGGTGCATGTCGAAATCTTATACAAAAGAAAAAGCGGCCATTTTGGATTGATGTGAATAATAATTTTGCCGTTGAGCTATAGAGACCTATTTATTTGCCTGTAGAACATCTAATAATAATCTAAGGAATGAAGGACTTTTAGAATAATTTGAAGGAAGTCCTTTATTTGGCAAGTACACATCATTTTAGGCACATAAATCAGAGGAAAGGTGTTATCTTAAAATCCCTGGTAAAAGTATGAAATAGTGCTACAACCCGGGTAAGCACTGTTTTTATTTGTAATTTTGAACATCCGTACAGTTGAAAATTCTTTCTTATCTATAATCCAAATGCAGTCTCAGACTACAGTCTACAGACATACAGAACTAAGGCCTACTCATACGTGATTAAACTCGACCATCTAGGGGCTCAAGCTCGACTGTAATGCCTTGACGTCTTACAAACTCACCATTGCGGAAGTAGTAAGCTGGCGGACTGCCGTCCAGACAGTAAGCCCCCGTCTCGTCGGCCAAGCCCTGCGGCAACACGACCAGGTGTGCCTCTATGTTACGACTGACCACCCCGGGGCCAGCCGCGCGGCTAGGTTTGGGGCGGTGCGTCGTAACGTGGAATCGTAACCGAGGAGTCGTAACCTGCAGTTGGTGGCTGACGTTCCCGACGTCCCTGAAGTAGTAGACCCACAGGTACAACCACAGGGCGGCAAGCATGGTCGCGATGGTCCAGCACTGGCATGACCTGACCCTAGGGAGCCCCCTAGAGGCGTATCGGAGACTCTTCTTCACCATGACCTGGTCCTCGTTCAGGAGGCTGTGGTCCTCCAGACTGGTCCTGCGCAGTTGGAAGATTGACATGTTGGAATTAACAAAAAGGATTCCAGAAAGGGACAGGGTGGATTTATTTTCGACCGTTGCTGATTCGTTCGCACGATTTACTCATTTGGGTTCACGATTACAGTAAGCAATATCCACTTACCTAGTATTGCACACCACTGTTCGGGGAGCCAAAAGGAGGAGACCCTCTCTGGTAGCCGCCAATCGAGCGACTGTTGGGTGAGGAGAGGCCCGACTTTTGTAGATATGGGTAAACGTCTCGGTACACCTTCTCGATGTGGGGCTGTCCATGTAGGACCTAGCCGATCAGAGAAGCAAACTGAAACGCAGAAGACAGGGAAACCATCCCAAAAGCCAAGGTACAACTGCTTGAACAGAGAAAATAATAAGGAACGAAAACAAAGGAAACAATGGATAAAATGACTTAAAGGTCTGTGTGAAGATGTCAGGAGTGCTCACCGGTCAACAAAGTCGAAAGAAGCTGTGTCCTCATTGGAAAGAGGACTCATTGGCGTTTCACATGTCTTATCGTTAACTAATTTGAAAATATGTATTCCACTTTATATAATTTACATTTACATTTGGGTTTTCTTTTATTGATACACCCTGTATTACAGAAATAAAACTGAGAAAGACTCTGCTAGGGTCGAAACGTCAGGCCACTAACTATTTTTTTGCAGAAATAAAACTATATACACACATCACAGATTTTTATATCTTTAGATCAGGGTTCAAGTTCATAAAGGTTTTATCGTAATCCTGTGAACAGTTAGGAAGACATTTTGGTTTGTTTCGATTTGAGGCTTCTGTTTGCATTTTAATTTGACCTAGCTCTGATGACCCTCCTGTAGCCCCGGAAGGAAAGGTCAAGCACACAAGAAATGTTCATCAAGGTGTGGTCTTTCAGAATACAAAGTATGAAGATGATTGCTTATTTTGTTCAAGGGTTATATAAAGTGAAAGAAGTTGCTCACTGTAAAATTCAAATCACTTGTAATTTGATACCTAATGACGTCATCATGACGTGATAGTAATAAACAAACCAAGAGATCAGGGTTGATCTTTGTTCAAAGTTAAATGTTTAAACCATGAATCAATAAGACTGGAAATGTCGAAGAGAATAATCGTCTTGAAAAAAGGGGGAAAAGAACTTACCGAACAATATCGAAACGGTGATCGGGTCGTGCCCGATCATCCAATTATTTTTCAGTCAATACAACAAATGTATATACAGCATGCTAGCATGCATGACATTAATTGTATTACATTGACAATCAAAGTTTGACTGCCTGGCATGTCCTGTGTTTTTTATTACTTTTTTTTCATGGGGAATGATCCAGGTTAGTAAAAAGTAACAGTTTTGTGTACAAATAAAGGACGTAACTTTAAAAAAAAATCAACGTATTTTTTAAATACTGTGTTCACAAGCTCTGTCTATTTTAATGCGAACATCCCCAAATTCAGATGTCCACTAATGATCATTTACCGTTCAATTACAATGAAACAAGGGCGTTTTCTACCTTCAAGAATGAACGAAAAAGTACACAGGAAAACAGACAAAAATCCTTTTATTCAAAACACACAATCTGACAGTAAAGATAACGTTTGAGTCGTGATAAAAATTATAAAAATTCATTTGTATTTGAATGCTTGTGTGTAATCTCTGGCTCTTACTCAGTTTAATAGCTTGAAATGGCATTCCATGGACAGCTGTACAAATCGATTCTGTTAGTAAAATGTGCATAGTTTCTCGTACCATGTATCAGTTTCAGTAATTCAGTAATTCCTTTGTCAAAATTAAAGGAAGAACATGTTCGTATTACTTTTACTTTAATTCTTGTGCCCAATATCATTGCTTTTTTAAGGGGATTATATTAATTCAGGTCACTTTCTTTTTGACCCACCCTGTCCAACTTCGGTTATTTCATTCACTGTTGAATTCAATATTCTAAATAAACATGTCATCGTGACATCACTTCAATTTTCATCTATAACACCTCCCGGTCTAGGAACATGCCAAGTTTTAACCCAATCGGACCTGTAGTTCTGTAGATATAGGCCTTCAAAATATGCATTTTTTTATATGACGTTATTTGTCACGTGAGGACGTCATCGTGACATCACTTCAATTTTCATCTATAACACCTCCCGGTCTAGGAACATGACAAGTTTTAACCCAATCGGACCTGTAGTTCTGCAGATATAGGCCTTCAATTTCAAAATATGCATGATGACTACAGAAAAAATAGCTTGCATTAAAAAAGACATCAATATACTTACATGAAATGTTTGAATGATGGAACGTTGGATGTTTAATACATGCTGGCCACAGACTCCACAAACAACATGTATACTGTTTTTCTCAGATGCAAAAACGGTTGTGCAAATACAAATACACATGTAATTTAATGCACAACTGTTCTGTTGTATGCGACGCGTACATCGGGCTACCTTCCCCACAAGCACTAGCGTAATGCTACCAAGAGGCCTCCCGTGTGCTAGTGTTATTGACTTACCACTACGGCAGCTTGCGCTTAACCTTGGTCATAACAATGCTGGCAACGTTGTTTACGATTGCCAGGAGTTGTGTGCACTTTCTCATTCGATTTTGCACCATGGCAATTGGTAATACCTATTGACGAATATGTAAGCATTCACTGAACCTTAACAAATAGCAAGGTTCACCCTGCGGTGACACAATTGTATACACGCTACCGTCCACAGAAGAGTAATATTGCCAGCATCATGTGTACTATAGTGCTGTAGACTACACAGACGTTCGCTCACGTTATAATGTTCGCTCAACGGGCATTTAATATTTTCAAAATGCGCGCATGCGTAGACGGTTTCTTAACAGGCGGCGCTGCTCGTTTTTTTCTATAGCAGACGATGCCATTCGATGACGGCGAAAACATTTAAATATAAAATAAAGTAGACCCTAATGCAATGTTTTATTCTGTCAAAAAAACCCCGATAATTTAAAATAGAATTGCGTTCAAAACCCAACCTAGGAACACAGTAGGAACAAATATATGTCCCCTAGACCCCGAACTTGTGTCCGGTAAACAATCTTTTCATTCTGTTGGAACACAGGTTTGAAACAACTTGGCACCTCATGTCAAACTGGCAAAGATCTTACGTCTTTTAAAGCTCTGTACTGGGCAAATATATAGATGATTGTTACAGGTGTATAGGGATTTATTTACGGTTCTTGTTGAGTGGTGTGGGTTTTATCTATGGATTGTATTTTAAGAAAATTTGCCTTTTAAATGGACAAAGGACAAGCGCTAAGTCACACTTTCATATTTAACAAGATAATGCAATTTTTTAATTCGGGATTAATGTTCCATTTTAAACCTTTTTTATCTATACATAGTCTGTTTTAAACTATGGTTTCAATTTTGTGTGGTTTTATTTCCTTGGGTTTTTTTATGGTAATGTATTTATTGTTTTAGTGTATTTTTTGTCATTTTTGGCATTATTATATCATGTTTTTATGTAATCCAGGGCCCCCAGGGAGAACAGTTCATTGATGGGGCTACTATGGTAAAATAACACGAAATAAATAAATTAAAATATACATGTGCAGTGCAGTAGTATGCACCAGTGGAGTAGCATGCCCCATTCGAAACTGTGCATTTGCGACGCGGGAGCGAAACAAAAAAAATCAGCCCAGCATTAAACTTAAACTTTCACAAAGTCTGCTAAAAGTGCCTGATTTAAACCCGGTCTGCAGGCTTGAATATGTCATCGACTACGGATACATAATGTCATATACCTTGTGATAAGAAAAATGATACCTTGGGCAAAAATGAGGGAAAAACGAGACGTGTTTTTTTTTTTTTTTATAAATCCTGGAAAATTCTGATGGTTGGGGGCTCACTACTCATGGAAACAAGCAAAAGTGAGCGCCCTCACTTCGCTTTCATTGTTCAAAGAGCGCCCTCCGCTTTTCTTTATGCATTTTTCAGTCCGGAAAGTTAGCCGCCTTCCATATAAGAAGCGCTTTTTAACAACCCATTCAGTTGCTTCTGCAGGTGGGGTTGCATGTCAGACTTGAGTCACAGTCTACATCCCACGTCTCTGCCGGCGTCGTCCGCTCGTAATACCAGTCGGCGAAGGCCTCTCTAGTCGTTCTTCCAGCCACTTTATAGGTCATCCAGGGAGAGTCGACGCAGGTCAGGATGTGAGCGTAGCAGGAGGCCAGGAACATGCCGTTTTTGTCGTAACGGTTGACCTGGTCCATACGCTGCAGGAAGGTTCGCCTGTGCTTCTCAATTACCCCAAGGTCTTTCTCGTTGCACTTGGAAGGGCGACAGCGAGTTCTGAGGATGTTCTGCAGAGTCCAACTGTCGTAGACGGAGTTGACAACGAACACGGGGCTGGTGAGGTAAGAGTAGGCGTGCTGCGCGAAGAAACACTCCGACTTGTTCTTTTCTTTGGCCAGTAGACAGTCTTTATCAAGGCCCCCTTGGGAAACACACGAGAAAATACGAATTATGTTACGTGCTTAGACCTTGCACTACACTTTTACTCTGAGGTATAACTTTATCTTTACGATGCTTAAAAACTTTAGGCTGTCTTTTATGATATGCACATGCATCCTGAACATCGATCATTAATGATGTGGCCTTGTGACATGACGTGCGACTGGCCTTCGGATATTTCTAGTAGTAGTATAAATCTCACCTTCTATCTGTTGCATCTTGTAGACGTTCTCCATGGCGCTTTTCCATTGGGTTTTACCGCTGGTGTCCGCCTCATCAGCCAAGAAGAAACCCCCGTCTGCCATGGCTTTGAACGAGGTTTCTTTGGGAACCATTCTGCTGACACGATCAGCGTGAAGTAGGACGGCAAGTCCCCCGGCTGTGAATCAAGAATAAAGGGAACAGCCCGATGACGTCATCGTCAAATAGCAAATCGCTAACATAAAGGAACCAACCGATATCAATATCATGTAGGCCCTTATCTCACAGAGTTCAGCTTTTCTCTTTACAATGGCCAGCTTCGCGAATTGTGTGTGAGTCATGAAGCCAGTCATCCTGCGCTGCACCAGAAATGTTCTGTGCGATAGTGATATTGATACTGCCCATGCCTGTCGAAGAAAGACCGAAGCCCAAAATTTGTTTAGAGACTTTTAGCCGGTTGGTGGCAGCACACAACCTGGTGAGTCCACTACTATTTTATGACTTGAGATGGCCAATAGACTGCAACAATTTTTAAAGCGAAGTCAAGGTGCACGACCGAGCAAAATCTCATGATGAACGCTTGATGGCGCAATTTAGCAAATGAAGCTATACGGATGCTCAACTTACCAGACTCACCGTGCAAAATGACCCTGTCGGCCCTCTGTAAACCTGCTGATTTTAGTAAGTAATTTATGACCGCATTCAGCACCCTGGAGCCCCGGTAGTACATCTTCTTTTTGTTAGAAATAACGGGATCTTCTCGGTCACCTTGGGTTAACAATAATTGTTTTTGTTTTTACAGAGCTATTTTTTATGAAAGTCAATGTTTGGGGATCGGCATTAAATCTTTGGGGTTGATTTTGCACCGATCCTAAATGTGTAGTCATAAAAATCCTAACTCGATTTCAACAGTGCCGATGGTGAATTCAAAGCTTACTTTTAAAATCACGATTATACTGAAAGACATACCGTTGGCTTATTCTCTTTTGAAATTCTTGATCACACTGTTTAGCATTACACTACTACAAAACTCCATTCGAAACTACTTTGACTGGTGCTAGTTGAACTGGTAGTGGTATTGAACTGAATGTAACTAGTATTACTGTTTTTAAGCCAGATAAACCAGTTCAAAACTTCAGTCACGTAATACGGTCTTTTGAGTTGACGGTTTCAATCGGTATTTTTACCTGGGAAATGCAAACGTTTCGTGGCATGTGACGCTCAAGTAAGAACAGAAAATAATACCAGAAAACGAGGCTCCATCGCAGTTGTTAACGACCGCCACATTCCAGTCGTAAAAGTCCGGATTGACCTTGGAACTTGACGACAGGATGCCGCCAAAGAGTTTCTTTGGACGGAGCTTGCGCGATGACCCCAGGTGGGTTGAACTACGGTGTGCGCATTGGGCGTTGTCGTAGCACCACGCACCGCCCATTAGATGTATTATCCAGGAGTTGTGGTGTTCCCTGGAAGTCGCTGTTGAATTTTAGTGAAAGGTATTAACGTTTAAGAATGAGATGAATTGCTATGGAAAGAGAGGAAATTCATCGTAGTTCTGGAAGAAAACTGCACATTGGATGTTGTGTGACTGGCGCATGTCAAAATCTTATACAAAACAAAAAGCGGCCATTTTGGATTGATGTTAATATTAATTTTGTCGTTTAGCTATAGAGACCTGTTTATTTTCCTGTAGAACATCTAGTAATAATCTAAGGAATGAAGGACTTTTAGAATAGTTTGAAGGAAGTCCTTTAATTGGCAAGTGCACATCATTTTAGGCATAGAGAGCAGAGGAAAAGTATAATCGTAAAATCGCTGGTAAAAGTAGGAAATAGTGCTATACAACCTGGTAAGCACTGTTTTTATTTGTAATTTTGAGCATCTGTACAGTTGAAAATTCTTTCTTGTCTACAATCCAAATGCAGTCTCAGACTACAGTCTACAGACATACAGAACTAAGGCCTACTTATACCTGATTAAACTCGACCATCTAGCTAGGGCTCAAGCTCGACTGTAATGCCTTGACGTCTTACAAACTCACCATTGCGGAAGTAGTAAGCTGGTGGACTGCCGTCCAGGCAGTAAGCCCCCGTCTCGTCGGCCAAGTCCTGCGGCAACACGACCAGGTGTGCCTCTATGTTACGACTGACCAACCTGGGGCCAGCCGCGCGGCTAGGTTTCGGGTGGTCCGTCGTAACGTGGAGCCGTAACTGTGGAGTCGTAGCCTGCAGTTGGTGCCTTACGTCCCCGATGTCCCTGAAGTAGTAGACCCACAAGCCGAAGCTGAGGTACAACCACAGGGCGGCAAGCACGGTCGCGATGGTCCAGCACTGGCAGGACCTGACCCTAGGGCGCCCCCTACAGGCCGATTGGAGGCTCTTCCTTACCATGACCTGATCCTCGTTAAGGAGGCTGTGGTTCAACAGACCGGTCCTGCGCAGTTGGAAGATTGACATGTTGGAATTTAAAAGAAAGGGACAGGGTGGATTTTTTTTTTCGGCCGTTGCTAATTCTTTCGCACGATTTACTAATTCGTTCGCACGATTTATCAATTCGGTCGCACGATTTACTAATCCGTTCCTTCGAACGAATTAGTACACGGTGCAAACAATTTGGCTGAATCGTACGAATGAATGAGTAAAAAAGTACGAACGTATTAGCAAAATCGTATACCACAACATACATTCATGTCCCTTTCCGGGCTGCGTATTTCTTTCTTGTGTCTGTTTGCTCGTTTTATTTTTGTTCTTTTTGTGAGAAGTCATGCTTCCTTAATACCTGAGCACTTTACAAAAATGAACACATCATGACAAGCACCAGACGACGTCCTGTACGTTTGTCCGTCTGGCTGTCCGTCCGTCTGTCTGTCTGTCTTGCCTATTTCGCTCCACTGCAGGAGGAAAGCCTCTTCACCAACTTTCCATCTCGCTCTATCGTGAGCTGTCTGTTGCCATGCAGTACCACTATGTGTTGTTAGTTCATCCCTCCATCATCTGTTTTGTCTCCCTCTTTGCTTCGTTTGATTTCTTGGAGTCTAATTGGTGGTTTTGCATGTCCACCGGTTGTCATAGCTCCTTGCCAGGTGACCTGTCCACCTCCACTTCTTTGATTTGATGGTCTTAATAATGTCCTGCACTCCTGATTTCTTTCTTAGATCCTCATTTGTCACCCTGTCCTTCTTTGTTACTCCTATCATTATTCTTTCCATAGCCCTGTCTGTCACCCTTATTTTTCTCTCTAGGCGTTAGGTGGAAGTCCAATCTGTGCACCATAATGATAAAACAGGTAGGATGCATTGATCGCATACCTGCCTATTCCGGGATATAGGAAGGGTGGGGTCTCGAAAGGGTGTGGTCATGTACGTAAGGGTGAACAATTCCTACCAATGCGACGGATGTGCCACTTCTTGGTGTCGTTGTCAGATTACTAAACATATTCCTTCTTCTCAAACCACAACTAAACATTTGGCCACAGCCAGTAAACTTTATCCACTTACCTAGTGTTGCACACCCCTGCCTGCGGGACTAAAGGGGGGAGACCCCCTCTGGTAGTCGCTAGTCGAACGACTGTTGGGTGAGAAGAGGCCCCACGTTTGTAGATATGGATAAACGTCCTTGTACACCTTCTCGATGTGGGGCTGCCCATGTAGGACCTAGCCGATCAGAGAAGCAAACTGAAAGGCAGAAGACAGGGAAACCTTCCCCCAAATCAAGGTACAACTACTTGAACAGAGAAATAAGCAATGAAAAGAAACAAAGGATGCAAAAAATATATGGATTCAAGGTCTGTGAGAAGATGTCGGGAGTGCTCACCGGTCAACAAAGTCGAAAGAAGCTGTGTCCTCATTGGAAAGAGGACTCATCGGCGTTTCACGTGATCGTTAACTTATTTGAAAATACAGGATGAGTAACAAAAAAGCGAAACCCAAATATCGCGACTATTGTTTTAGTAAAGTTCCAGCATGTAGCACTTTCCAAATCTAGGCTATGAAAGCCCAATTCATTGATTTTACGGAGGCCAAGAGTCCAGAGGAAAAAACATCTGTCTACATTTGAGCATTGATTTGCTGATGAAACCCCAAACCCCCCTGCAAACATTCCTGGATCCGCCCCTGCCAAGTACAACAATACTCACTGGGAGCTTCGAGGATGGTTACTCTCACGGGTTTACATTAGGAGCCATGCTCCTTCAAATTTCAGAGAAAGTACAGAGACAATTTGTATTAGTATTCTCTGCTCTTTACCCACGGATTCCGAATAGACTTGATACAATTTGCCCTTAGCTTGCGCGGTTTACAAGAAAACTCAATTTTTCCCCCCGGTTACACAGTTTTAATGGATTTGAGTCCAAATATTTAATCAATTTTTATCAAATAACAATCATCCTGACTTGTGTTCAACAAACCACGATTGATATCTCATAATCCACGAGGTGACACATAAACATAAAAGTGTAGTGTCGATGCAGACAGTTACCACAAAACATCACCCTGAGATAAATGCATGTTCGGTAGTAAACCATCATGGCACTGACTACAGAGAAAGCTTGCATTAAAAAAGGCATCAATTTACTTACATGAAATGTTGGAATGATGGAACGTGGGATGTTTAATACATGCTGGCCGCAGACTCCACGAACAACATTTATACTGTTTTTCTCAGATGCAAAAACAGTTGCGAAATTACAAATAATTTAATGCACAACTGTTTTGTTGTGTAATACGCGTATACGTGCTGCCTTCCCCTCTATAGCGCTAGCATAATGCTACAAAGTGACCCCCGTGTGCTAGTGTTATTGACTTACCGCTACCGTAGACTGCACAAAAGGGCTTAACCTTGGTCATAACAATGCTGGCAACGTTGTTTACGATTGCCAAGAGTTGTGTGCACTTTCATATAAGGCAATTGTTAACGCCTTCCCCTTTTCATTTCAAAGCTATTGACGAATATGTAAACATTCACTGAACCTTAACAAATAGCAAGGTTCACCCCCCCCCCCCGTGACACAATTGTATACACGCTACCGTCCAATGCCGTCCATACAAGAGTAATATTACCAGCAACATGTGTACTATATTGCTGTTGACTACACAAACATAACTAGACGCTCGCTCACACCGTTTTCACGAAGAGCCACATAATTATGCAGTGGCGTAGCCAGGAATTTTTCAGTGGTGGGGGGGGGGGGGGGGGGGGCACTGGGGGGCTGGCACATTTCATGGGGGGCGTCATGTAGATCAATTATAATTTTTTTAGAAACTCAAAATCTCAGTGGGGGGGGGGGGGCGACTGGGGGGGGGGGGGCGACAAGGGGGGGGGCCCATAGCGCCCCCCCCCCACGCGATTTTTTTCTTCAATATTTTGCTTTTAAAACAAAGTACTTAACCATTTTGACATGTTTCTGCAAGCAAACATCATTAATTTCCAGAAAACATTAATTATGCAAGGGGCAGAAATCTCGAAAACTGAGTTTTGCTATGGTAATGTATTCATTATGTCTTTTATTTAATTTGTTTGTTATTTTGTTGTCATTATTATATCATGTTTTTATGTAATCTAGGGACCCCAGGGAGAACACTTCATGACTACTGATGGGGCTACCCTGGTAAAATAACACGAAATAAATAGATAAATAAATAGATAAATGAATGAACAACCGTATATACATGTACATATACAGTGCAGCAGTATGCCCCAGTGCAGTAGTATGCCCCATTCAAAACTGTGCGGGAGCGAAACAAAAATAGTCCAACATTTAAACTTAAACTTTAACAAATTCTGTTTAAAGTGCCTGAATTAAACCCGGTCTGCAGGCTTGAATAGTTCATCGACTACGGATACATAATGTCATATACCTTGTGATAAGAAAATTAATGATACCTTGGGCAAAAATGAGGAAAAACGACAGGTGTTTTTTTTAATAAATCCTGGAAAATTCTGATAGTTGGGGGCTCACTACTCACAAAAACAAGCAAAAGTGAGCGCCCTCACTTCGCTTTCATTGTTTAAAGAGCGCCCTTTTTTTTCATGCATTTTTCATTCCGGAAAGTTAGTCGCCTGCCGTATCAGAAGCGCTTCTTAACATCCCATTCAGTTGCTGCTGCAGGTGGGGTTGCACGTCAGACTTGAGTCACAGTCTACATCCCGCGTCTCTGCCGGCGTCGTCCGCTCGTAATACCAGTCGGCGAAGGCCTCCCTAGTCGTTCTGCCAGCCACTTTGTAGGTCATCCAGGGAGAGTCGAGGGAGGCCAGGATGTGATCGTAGCAGGAGGTCAGGAACATGCCGTCTTTGTTGTAACGGTTGATCTGGTCCGTACGCTGCAGGAAGGTCCGCCTGTGCTCCCCAATTACCCGGAGCTCCTCCTCACTGCACCCCGAAGGGCGACAGCGTACTTTGAGGATGTTCTGCACAGCCCAACTGTCGTAGACGGAGTTGATGATGAACATGGGGGTGGTGACGTGAGGGTAGGCATACTGCGCGAAGAAACACTCCGACCTGTTCTTTTCTTTGGCCAGTAGACAGTCTTCATCAAGACTCCCTTAGAAAACAGACAAGAAAATGCGACTAATTATTTTGCATGCCCGACCTTGCAGTACGTTTAAACTCTCGTACTTTAACTTTCCGGTGCCTAAGAGCTTTGGGCTGTTTTTTAGGTTCTTTTTTTTTAACGCGAACAGAGCACCGTCCTTCTCTTATAAAGTCGCAAAATTATACAATATCTGTTGCAAATAGACTTTCTGGTTCACACTCGCCGTAAACCTCGTAATAATATGTATAATACGCAAGGCCAAATTGTAAAAACTCAAGACGTAATGAAATCATAAATAGTTTGTTATTACAAGTCACGTGGCAAGTCTCATAATTAAATGACATTCTATGCACAGGAATCGTGACCATCGATCATTAATTATGTGGCCTCATTTGTGACATGACTTGTGGCCTATCGGTTATAGGGGAGTGTGGCCCAGTGGTTAGGGTGTGACTCATGATCAGAGGGTCAGTGGTTCGAATGCAGCTGTTGGCTATATGTTGTGTCCTTGGGCAAGCAACTTCACCCACACTTGCCTCTCTCCACCAAGTAGTATGAATGTGTACCGGCCTTAAGCTGGCGAGTAACTTGCGTTGGACTGGCCTCCCGTCCAATGGGAATAGAATAATTTCAGTCATTTCGTGCCACTGAAACTGGAGATAACCGCCGGCCTGATGGGTCACATTGGCTCGTGACAGACTTTACTTTTTATACTTTTGATAAATCTCACCTTCCACCTGTTGCATTTGGTAGACGTCCTTCATGGCGTTTTCCCACCACTTTTCACCGCTGGTGTCCGCCTCATCAGCCACAAAGAAACCCGCGTCTGCCACGGCTTTGAAGGAGGCGTCGTTGGGAACCATGCTACCGACACGATCAGCGTGAAGGTAGACAGCAAGACCCCCGGCTGTGGATGACGAATAAAGGGAGCAGCCCAATCAGGCCTTCGTCAAAAATCAAATCGCTGAGAAAAATAGAAGGCACTGATCTCCATGTAAACAGATCTGTAGCTTGGCCATTCCGAGTTGTACAAAGAAGTGAAGCTGCGCACTGGTTCCCGACCCCTTCATTCGAATGTGGGGAGAAAACCAGTCTCAACAACCTCCGTTGCTCAAAATAGAGTTGACTAAAAGTATAAGAAACTTGTTTTAACATTAACAATTTGTTTCACTTGTGTGTTTTTTTTCCAAAAAAAAAATAAATATTCGAGTAAATGCGTACGTGGCAATAAAACTCTTTACAAAATGATAGTTCTTCGAGAGGTAATATAGTGAACAGTGAATTCACTTCATTCTAACAGCCATGGGGCTATCCGGAGATCTGTGCCTGTTGGCCTAACAACCACAATCAGGACAGACACATCATGTGAGTCTGTTCTGTCCTGCACCATGACTTGTCTTTGAAAATGTGTTGTCGGTTAAGTGGCCATCTGCGGTCATAAACTAATAGTGTGCTGCAACCAAGCGGCTAGGAGTCTCAAAAATATCTCTGACCTCGGTCTTTTCTTCGACGAACATGGGTAATATGGATGTCACTATCGCACGGAACATTATTGGTACATCAGAATGCAGGAAGGTTGCCATTAAGTTAAAAACACAACTGACCCATTTTTAGGAAAACGCTTGGTGGCGCTATTTAGAAAAACTAAAAGTATGGTGCGCTTACCAGATGCGCCGCTCAAAATGACCCTGTCGGCCCTCTGTAGTCCTGCTGATTGGAGTAAATAACTTATGATGGCATCCAGCACCCTGGAGCCCCGGTAGTACATCTTGGTGTTGCTATGTGTGACGGGATCTTCTCGGTCACCTTGGGTTTCCCATGTAAGAAAATGTTGTTTTTAAGAGGATGTAAAGTTTATTTTTCAATTCAATCTCTGGGTTTGGTTACTTTTGCACCGAGCCGAAACGTCTATTACAAAATAAATCTCTTCCCTGGACATGAACAGAGCCAATTTCAAAGCGTATCTCTATGGAACTCACTATTATTTCTTTCATTCTTTCTGAATTTTTTCGATAACTAAAAGTCTTATTTTTCATCATGCTTCCAAAAATGAGCAGAGGCAAAAGTCACATGACACGTGTCATGGAATATTAAAGCAATACATACCAGAAAACGAGGCTCCGTCGCAGTAGTTTACGACCGCCACATTCCAGTCGTAAAAGTCCGGATTGACTGTGGAACTTGACGACAGGATGCCGCCAAAGCGTTTCTCTGGACTGAGCATGCGCGATGACCCCAGGGCGGTGGCACTACGGCGTGCGCATTGGGCGTTGCTGTAGCACCACGCACCGCCCATTAGATGAATTAACCAGGAGTTGAGATGTTCATCGGAAGACGCTGTTGAATATTAGTGTTATGAACGATTCATAAATACCTAATACAGTTTACCCATTCATACTGGTCGAGAGCCCCTCACTTGGCCGGTCTTAAACGGATGATAAAGACGTGGCTGGCTGGTCTTAAACACTTTTTCAGTTTTACATGGAATTTGGACTCCCATGAAATCCGGTGCTTTAAAGTTAAATTGGTTGAACGTTCACATTCCTCATGTAGGCATGCGCAATACTACCAGTGAATCAGTATTTTACAGTCCAAAATTCACACTACACCAATGCACGTTGGGTCGTTTGCGACTGGCATTTCCGCATTTGTCGACATGAAACACTTACTGTTTGTTATGATTGTTTGTCTGTGGAACATCTAATGAATTTGCAAGTTTGAAGAACTTTTGAAATACTTTGCAAAGCCCTTTAGGTTGCAATACCTTATACTTTTAAGCACATTTATTCACTTTTACAGATTCCTCTATCCACAATCAACAGTCAAACTAGACGGTCCATACACAGGATTATTCTCTAAATTCCAGAGAGTGAAACTACCAGGTAGCAGACGATTTAGAGTTCAAACCACTCCGGTTTCAAATTGAATTACTCTGACAAAAAAATTAACCCAGTGGAAACTCGAGCGAAAAGGCGGTCTTTTCGATTAAATGCATTTCATTCCAAAACGTCTGGTCCGTAGTTTTATTCTGTGCCACGGGGAATGAATGTCCACTCAAAAAAGAGTGAATTTTCACGCTGTTTGGAAATAAGAGTGTAGGGGCCTCCTAACGTTTTAGTAAACTCGACCATCTGGGGTTAAAAGCTTGACTGCATCTCCGTCTTACAAACTCACCATTGCGGAAGTAGTAAGATGGCGGACTGCCGTCCAGACAGTACGCCCCGGTCTCATCGGCCAAGTCCTGCGGCAACACGACCAGGTGTGCCTCTATGTTACGACTGACCACCCCGGGGCCAGTCCGGCGGACAGCCCGGGAGTCGGCAGCGCCCCCAACGTCGCTAAAGTAGCTCAAGTAGAGCCACACGCCGAGGAAGGTCAGCCAGAGGGCGGCCAGCAGGGCCGCGATGGTCCAGCCACGGCAGAGGGTGAGCCTAGGGCGCCCCCTAGCAGCGTGTTGGAGGCGCTTCTTCACGACCACCTGGTCCTCGTTGAGACAGGTGTGGGTCTCCTGACCGGTTCCGCGCAGGTGGAAGTTTGACATCTTGGAATCCAAATTAAGTTTTCAAAAGTTGAGGTGGATCACATTCACAGGTGATAGCTATGGATTGGTTTGAAGGAAGAGAAAGAAGTTTACAGTTGAAGACATGAAGCCAGTGGCGTAAATCTGTGCCGGCGAGTGGGGGGGGGGATTACCAAAATCAAAAAATTCCCCGGCCATGGAAATTAGAAAAGTGGGGGCGCTCTTCGGGATATAGATGTATTTCGATAAGTATACTCGCGCTTACATCAAAACGGCGCATTTTCAAGCTTTCCTACTTTGTTTCTCCACTTTTCAGTGCTATTGAATACATTTTGGGTTTTGAGATGTTAAAAAAATACCTCAAAATTCGCATTTTTTTCTCATTACGAAAAACTGTGGGGTATGATTCAATAGCCCATCCCCTGGTCAAAAACTGGGGAATATAATTATACCCCTCCCCCGGGATTTACGCCCCTGCATGAAGCATAAACAAATCTGTGTATTACCTCACGACACATGAACAGCTGTACAAATATACATTGGTGTGTGTTATTTGCTAAATTGTCTGGGCTTTTTTACGATTCATTATGATTCCTTTTTAATAATAGTTTTTGAGAATGAATGATGACAAAATCGTTAAAAGCATTAGACGATCGACGCCCTGTATACGTTAGAATCATTCCTAGCAACTCGCAGGATATGTCACTTCGTGATGTCGGTGGTAGATTATTAACTATTCCCGGCGTGAAATGATTGTTTAGCTTTCAATACCGTGTGCAGAAAAACACAAAATAAAAATCAATATTTCAAATTTGTGTTGATACAGATTCAGAAGTTCTTGTTGGCTTGAAGCAGCTGTGTCTATAGTCATAGCAAATTCAGCTGTATGATCCGTATCATGAATGTACATACATAATGACCTGATAATAACTTAACTCCTGTACATATTTTGTACAGTGCCCAACGTTGATGTGGAATCATTCTAAACCCTGCCTTAATTTCCCACATCCCTCAAAACAAGTGAGAACGAAACTCGGCCTTTCCAAAAGAACCTCTTTCTTTAATAATAAAAATAATAACTGTTTGGATGTTGATAAATTTCAGTTTACTGTATGTATCCAAACAAAATGAAAGTTATGTCTGTTCTAATACAAATATCACAAAATTCAGCCATTCACCAGTGGTATATGAATGGTAAACATTACCCTTCAAATTCAATGAAAACAAGGCCTTTCCATGCCTTTTGTGAATGACTGAAAAATAATTTGCATAAGAAAACAGATCGAAAATATGGTGTTGATTTCAAATCAACATCATATTTTTTGGAGAAAATCCTTATGTCCAAAACACAAAACCTGACAGTACTAGATCAGCTTTCAGTCTTGACAAAAGTATAAAACGTTCATCTGTTTGTGAATGTTTGTGTGCAATATCTGGCTCTCACTCAGCTCAGCCGCTTCAAATGGCATTTCATGGACAGCTGTGAGTATCGATATTTTAAATTAAAATCTACTAAACTTCTCGCAGTACGGATCAATATTTCAGTAATTCCTTTTTTCAAAGTAATGAAGGAACATATTAGCCTCGTGTTTCGTTGGTGTGTCAAATTTGGTTGCTTTAAAACAAATAATAATAATAATGTGGGAAATTAAGGCAGAGTTAATTTCCTTAAATTAATTGCCTTAATTTCCCACATCCCTCAAAACAAGTGAGAACGAAACTCGGCCTTTCCAAAAGAACCTCTTTCTTTAATAATAAAAATAATAACTGTTTGGATGTTGATAAATTTCAGTTTACTGTATGTATCCAAACAAAATGAAAGTTATGTCTGTTCTAATACAAATATCACAAAATTCAGCCATTCACCAGTGGTATATGAATGGTAAACATTACCCTTCAAATTCAATGAAAACAAGGCCTTTCCATGCCTTTTGTGAATGACTGAAAAATAATTTGCATAAGAAAACAGATCGAAAATATGGTGTTGATTTTAAATCAACATCATATTTTTTGGAGAAAATCCTTATGTCCAAAACACAAAACCTGACAGTACTAGATCAGCTTTCAGTCTTGACAAAAGTATAAAACGTTCATCTGTTTGTGAATGTTTGTGTGCAATATCTGGCTCTCACTCAGCTCAGCCGCTTCAAATGGCATTTCATGGACAGCTGTGAGTATCGATATTTTAAATTAAAATCTACTAAACTTCTCGCAGTACGGATCAATATTTCAGTAATTCCTTTTTTCAAAGTAATGAAGGAACATATTAGACTCGTGTTTCGTTGGTGTGTCAAATTTGGTTGCTTTAAAACAAATAACAAAAAACCTTTTTAATTTTGCCGACGCGCATGGCTATGGCGACGCACGTGCATACCAGAAACCAGAGCCTTTTTTGGCCTAATAATCGTTTACTTCGTTTCGAACGAATAAAAAGGAGTGAATGCTTCAGATTTCAAATATGCACTTGTCATTTACAAGGCTGGGTTGGGGCAACCTTGAAATTATAAAGCAAAATAATTCTCCGCAAAAATTACTGCATTTATTAAAGTTCATTAGGTACAAATGATACCATGATCGTATAAAAAAAATTGGTATTTGCTTTTACTACCACTTTTGAAGCATTTATTCGCATCTGTATGAATAAATATTAAGCCAAACACTTTTACTAAAAACCGTTTTCTACACTATAAGCGTTTACTTCGTTTCTTATTGATAAAAAGGAGTAAATGCTTCATATTTCAATTTGTTCTACTTGTCATATATCAAGGTTGGGTTGGGGCTACCTTGAAAATATAAAAGCACATAATTCTGCGCATAAATTACTGCATTTATTAATGTTAATCTCAAAAAAGTACAAATAATAGCATACGGTAGTTCGTATGAATAAAAACTGGCATTTGCATTACTCCCATCTGTATGAATAAAAATTAATCAAAGGCTCTTACTGAAAACCATTTGTTCTTGAGTAAATGGCCTGCAAAATGTAAGGCTTTACACGTTGATAAGTTTGCAGAAAATAAAACTATTGTAACCGAAACGGAAAGCGGCACCGGGGAAGGTCACTTGCTGGAGGACAGATACAAAAAAGCGCGCCAAACGTGACGAACGCAATGCCGTTTACGCGTACAATGCGCTGTGCATAGGCACCCATGGTCTACATGTGGATTGGGTTTTCAGTCACTACCTGATTGCGTGGGTTTGCTACACTATAAGCGTTTACTTCGTTTCTTATGAATAAAAAGGAGTAAATGCTTCAGATTTCAAATATGCACTTGTCATATTTCAAGTTTGGGTAGGGGCTACCTTGAATATATAAAAGCACATAATTGCGATACTCCCATCTGTATGAATACAAATTAATCAAAGGCCTTTACTGAAAACCATTTGCTCTTTCCCCAGACTATTCTTCTGGGGTTTTCCTCCCACCTCTAAAACTGTAATTTCTTCTCTTTGTCTTCTCTCTACATGTTTTTTTCGGGGTTTGCGAGCTACAGTGCCTGGGGCATGCACTTTTGAGGAATCCTTGGTTTTATTACCTAAAAAAAATATTTATCGTTTACTTCGTTTCGTATGAATAAAAAAGGAGTAAACGCTTCAGATTTCAAATATGCACTTGTCATTCACAAGGCTGGGTTGGGGCAACCTTGAAATTGTACAGCAAATAATTCTGCGCAAAAACTACAGCATTTATTATATGTTAATCGCGAAAAATTAATATTAACAAAGTTCATTAAGTACAAATGATACCATGTTCGTATGAATAAAAATGGCATTTGCTTTTACTTCCAATTTTGAAGCATTTACTCGCATCTGTATGAATGAAAATTAAGCAAACACTTTTACTAAAAACCATTTGCTAGAATCTGAAAATCATTAGTTTTTACCTTTTTGGTTTTTGCTACACTATAGGCGTTTACTTCGTTTCATATGAATGAAAAGGAGTAAATGCTTCAGATTTCAAATATTTACTTGTCATTTTTGTGAAGTCCTTTATCTACAGAACTGCGATCTTTGAAAACACATATAAGGGAAAGTCCGATTGTCGAGAAACTTGGTGGATATAGCTAGATAATGGTACTAGTATGCAAAATTCGAAAGACATCACCATGACGTCATTGGTTAATTTTGTATGATTTTTAAAAAATATTTGTGTTGATCCTGATCACTCTACCGCACATGTTGTCCTATAAGCCTTACATGACATATAAATACAATAACAATTTTTTTTCTTTTTATGTGACGTCATCATGACGTCATCACGTGACATGGGACGTCATAATTCAAAGCCCTACGAGAATGTAATCATATATTTATATGCCACAATTTAATATATACACATCCTTCCTGGATGGAACTTATACTTGAAACTATGTCACATATATGTCACAAAAAAAGTTACCGAAACAGCCCTGTGTTTGTCCACAAACATAAGTCTAGTTTTTTTTTTTTGCTTTTCGGGGGGGGGGGGGGGGTAAGCGCCCCCTTGCCCCATCCTAGTGACGCCAATGTATTTTTGATGACTGATAGTCCACGATGTCGCACCAAAAAAAATGTATCTTGATGAAGGAAGTAACCACAAAACATCACCGTGAGATAAGTGCATGTAGGGTAACATACCATCATGACACTCATGGCTACAGACAAAATATTGCACATATAAAAGACATTAACTTACATGAAATTATGTAGACATGATGGATCGTGAGATGTTACATGCTGGCTGCGGACACAACAAAAAACCCGTTGATATTGTTTTCGTCAGATGCAAAATAGTGCCACAATTACTAATAATTTTATACACAACCGTTTTGTTGTATACGACGCGTTAAATGTGCTACCCTCTCCATTAGAGTAATAGTACCAGCATCCCGTATACAAGTGCTGTGCGATAGACTACTCCACAGCAAAAAGCCTAGGTCATGTCCGATTTTTTTTTATCGTTGACGTAGGTACTGTGTTATCGTTCACTGAACATTGGCACATAGCAAAGTCCATCCTGCGCTTATACAATACCGGTACGGTGTAGGCTATACTGACACTATACTAGAGTAATACTGCACGAATCTCGTATTCCTTTCGCGCTATTACCATTGCGGTAGGCGTAATTTTTATTCCTAGGAGCGTTAGGGGCAATGTCATGAATAATTCATCTTTATCCATGAGAACGGACAATGACATCAACAGCATTGTTGTTAGTTACTCAACTAGTTACAATACATTAAAGCATTTTAAAGAACGGTTGTCGTCGAGCTACCCCACAGTAGCCTAGTGGATAGCGAGATGAGCTCATTTTCATCAGCTATTTTTCTTCTCCAAATTTATCACTGAGATAATTTTAAATTAAGGGGAAAATAGAACGAGAACCTAAGTCTTGCAACGATTCAAAGGAAAAACTGAATTATTCATGACATTGCCCCTAACCCTCCTAGGAAAAAAAATTACGCTTGCGGTAGACTACACAAAAAAAGTACAAGACATTCGCATTCGCCGCAACTGGATACAGATTAATAATTGATTTTTTTTTCTTATAACTTGCGGTTTAATAATGTCATTATCTTGAAACCTCGTAAAGTCGTTTGCGGTTATCCAAAAAAATATCTACGGACAATTTAGAAATATAAAGGACGAATGGTTTTCATTTAAAGGAATAGAAAAAAAGTTTAAATGTCTTTGACGTGCCGCTAGGGGCGCCCTTTCGGGTGATGTCATCAGCATGCTGTTTTTTGTGTGTTTGGCATCCATACTAAATATTTCGATAATTTGTTTTCAAGTAACATTTAATTCTTTTCGCACCTCCGCTAAAGCCGGAATTGAAGATCGAACGAGGATCACAAATATTTACCTAGGCCATTACAAAACATTAGAACGTACTCGATTCATATAAAAACTACGGTCATTTTTCAAATTCTGACCTTTAACCGCTTGTGATTTGATACCTGATGAGGTCATGATGACGACACAATTGCTGTTCACATTTTTCGACCAGGATTCAGGTTTAACCGGGTTTTATTATCATCCCGTAAACCGTTTGAAAAAAATCGGTTTGGATCGATTTTAGGCGCATGTCCATTTTTTGCATTCACCTAACTTTGACGTTCTGGTAGCCTCGAAAGTAAAGCTCATGAGACTTTACGTACGTGAATTAAAATGTTCATCACTTAAACGATCTACTTGGTTATAAAATCCAAACATCAATAATTACTTTTTGTTCAAAAGTTATAAGTGAAAGCAAGTTATTAAGACCATTTTCGAAAGTTTCAAAATAGTTTAATAATTTGAAGAACATTAAAAAATTCTTTAGGTTATAAAGTTAATAATGCATGCAAAATCGGCTCTGCATATGATATTTTGATATTTTCAAATAATGGAAGCGGCTTTATAATAATTATTTCCCACACCAAAGCAAAAGCACATGAAAGAAGAAACGATTGAATAATCACCACTGACCCTGTTTGCCCATGCGCCCTTTACAAACTTTTTTTTCAGTTTTTCCATAATTATTTACAATAAATATAAAGTAATAATTGAAAAAGTCGTTAAGAAAACAATAAAAACAAACATTGTATCGTTTTTATTTGTTGTCGATAAAACCTAATTGTGACACCTAATCTTTTTAATTGTTACCTCCAAATGGTAAATGTATACGATATTTACAAATGGGATTTTTGATTCGATTTCAAGATTCACGTACATTACTTAAGACCATACTCAACTTGACTTGAGAAGGATTATCTGGCAAGTCAGAGTCAAACGGGAAGACGACATATTATTTAATTTGTTTTGTCTTTACCAACTTTGCTTCAAAAAGTCTTCAAAAAGCATTACAAATTAATGATTCACAAGAGCTTACAAACTCTGTGCACAGCGCCCTCTAGCGGTGAAACGTTTACCATCTTTGTGTTTATGAGTGGAATCCATTGTATGCAATGGTGGTCGGGGCACAGCTCTCGCAAACCAGCGAAAAATGAGCGCCCTCACTTCACTTTCATAGGCTAAATAGCGCCCTCTCTTGTTTACGCACGATTTCCACACCGGAATGTCAGACTTGTCCCGTAACACAAACGCTCATAAAAAAAACCATTCAGTTCTATCGATTGCCTCTACAAGTGGGGTTGCACGTCAGAGAGCCGCAGTCTACGTCCCGCGTCTCGGCCGTCGTCGTCCGTTCGTAATACCAGTCGGCGAAGGCCTCCCTAGTCGTTCTTCCAGCCACTTTGTAAGTCATCCAGAAATAGTCCGAGGAGGCCTGTTTGTGATCGTAGCAGGATGTCAGGAACATGCCGTCTTTGTTGTAACGGTTGATCTGGTCCGTACGCTGCAGGAAGGTTCGCCTGTGCTCCCCAATTACCCGGAGCTCCTCCTTACTGCACTCAGTAGGGCGACAGCGGACTCCGAGGATGTTCTTCAGAGCCAACCTGTCGTAAGCGGAGTTGATGACAAACATGGGGGTGGTGACGTACGGGTAGGCGTACTGTGCGAAGAAACACTCCCATTTGTTCTTGCCTTTGGCAAGCAGACAGTCTTCATCAAGGCTCCCTTGAATTGAAAGTAAAAACCTGGTTTAGATTTTTGTGTGACCGCTACCACGATATACCTTATGCGTTGCGTGTATCACAAGACTGCAAACGCCTTATCACCAGATTATTTCAAGCAAAAGGGTATATGCAGAGAACTGCCTCTATTCAATGAAAAGTAACACACGTCTTACAAGAAAAGTATGATTCATGCTTGTGACAAATTTACAATTCGTGCGATATATAATACGCGTGGGAGAACATTGGATCGGCGTGGGGGAACATGTGAGCCTTTTAGTGTTATTTTCTTGAAGTGTTTTTTTTCTCGTTAGAACGCTAATATGCCCTTCTGCCGGGCACCCGACGAAGTGACATCACACGTCAAAACCCAGGTACATATTGTGACAAGCAATCTACAGGAACAGATACAAATGGATTCATATACTATTGTTTAGTCGTTGTTTCCCGTGACCCCATGGTGATGGGACTTGTGACTGATTCGATTATGTTCCCTGAGTAAATCTCACCTTCCACCTGTTGCATTTGGTAGACGTCCTTCATGGCGTTTTCCCACCTGTTTCCACCACTGGTATCCGCCTCGGGCACGAAGAAACCCCCGTCTGCCACGGCTTTGAAGGAGGCGTCGTCGGGAACCATGCTGCTGACACGATCAGCGTGAAGGTAGACAGCAAGTGCCCCGGCTGTGGATGACGAATAAAGGGAGAAGTCCATTCAGGCCTTCGTCAAAAATCAAATCGCTGAGAAAAAGAAGGCACTGATCTCCTTGTAAACAGATTTGCAGCTTGACCATTCCGAGCATGGGGACTCAGGTTGGAGTAGCGGTACTTTCCTCGCCTTCCACCGCTGTGACTTGGTTTTGATACCTGCCTGGGCCAACATGTGGATTGGGTTTTCAGTCCCTGCCTGATTCTGTGGGTTTTCCCCAGAATATCTTCCGGGGTTTTTCCTCCCACCTCTAAAATTGTAGTTTCTTCTTATTGTCTTCTCTCTTAGTTGGTGTGGTGTTTCCCCTGGGATGCCCATTTATGTGAAGATACAGATACATATACAGCTGTATAAAGAAGTGAAGCTGCGCACTGGTTCCCAACCCCTCCATTCGAAAGCGGGGAGGGAACCAGTATGATGCACTTACCAGATGCGCCGCTCAGAATGACCCTGTCGGCCCTCTGTAGTCCTGCTGATTGGAGTAAATAACTTATGACGGCATCGAGCACCCTGGAGCCCCGGTAGTACATCTTTGTGTTGTTATAATTAATGGGATCTTCCCGGTCACCTTGGGTTAACAATGTAAAAGGGTGTTTCTAAGAGGATGACAATTCTTTATTTTCAAATTCAATCTCTGGGTTTGATTACTTTTGCACCAAGCCGAACTGTCTATCGTAAAGTAGGTGTTTTTTTTAAGAGTGACCATTAGAAAAACATCTTTGGGTTAAAAGTCAATATCTCTCTTGCTTCGACGTGTGGAAACTTCAATGATTGCTGGATTGCTGGAACTCATTCAATTGGCCCATATTCTCTCTGGATTTACTGATCACTTTCATTACACCACCCAATAAGCAGACCCAGTTGAAAATTCTAGTTGAAACTTGTTTAACTGGTTTCAACTATTATCAGTTAAACCGGAAATGGTTAATTTGTTAAACTGGTTTAAGTAGGTTGAGCTACTATGAACTATTGGTGTTAAAATGTGTTAAATTATAATAGCTGATCCTGAACCTGTTAAACCGGTTCGAAACCAGTTAAACCAGCTAATAACCAGTTAAACAATACATACCAGAAAACGAGGCTCCGTCGCAGTAGTTCACGACTGCAACATTCCAGTCGTAAAAGTCCGGATTGACTGTGAAATTGGCCGACAGGATGCCGCCAAAGAGCTGCTTTGGACTGAGCATGCGCGATGACCCCAGGTCGGTGGCACTACGGCGTGCGCATTCGGAGTTGTTGTAGCACCACGCACCGCCCAATAAATGGATAATCCAGGAATTGTGGTGTTCCTCGGAAGACGCTATGGAATTTAAGTGGAACAGTTCACTCTGAGATAAACAGTGTTACAAAAAAAGTGGAAATTAAGAACTCTGAAATATAACTGTGCGTTGGAGCATGTGGGACTAACATTATGGTGTAGTGCCTTAAGCACGAATATGTTTGTAAAATAAAATTAAGGACGAAACAAAAAGACGTCATTTTGGATCTATGTTGATTTTCATTTTACCATTAGATATAATCCATTTATCTGCGGAGCATCTAGTTATGATAACATAAAGCATGAAGTACTTTTGAATATTTCACAAAGCCTGTGTACCCGCGCATGCCCATTTATTGTCAATGGTCCGGAAATAACTACAGCAACTTAGAAGTGTACTTATTTTTATGATTGAAAAATGTATAAATGTATCAAACGGCAGAATGGTGTACAAAATCAAACAAATGTACAAAGACGTTGGCTGCACACTTTATCTACGGCTGTAGAAATGCATGTGTGGCGTGTTTTGTCTAAAGTACCAATGTTTATAAAAAAAAAAAAAGAGATGTGTCCACAATTTAGGAATCTTAACAGCGAAGAAAGCAAACATAATTAATCTATTTGTTAATAAAGGGGGACTGCAAACTGGGGGAGGGGAGAGGGGTAGGAAAAAACTTGGGGTGTACGGAAGCCCCCCCCCCCCTCCCATGCCCCTGTAGCGCCACCACTGCTGACAAACTCACCATTGCGGAAGTAGTAAGATGGCGGACTGCCGTCCAGACAGTAAGCCCCCGTCGCGTCGGCCAAATCCTGCGGCAAGACTACCAGATCGGCCTTGACGTTGCGACCGACCGCTCCGGAGCCGGCAGCGCCCCCAGCGTCCCTGAAGTAGCTGAAGTAGAGCCACAGCCCGAAGAAGGTCAGCCAGAAGGCGGCCAGCAAGGCCGCGATGGTCCAGCAACGACAGGAAGTGAGCCTGGGGCGCCACCTAGAGGCGTGCTCGAGGCGCTTCTTCACGACCACCTGGTCCTCATTGAGTAGGCTATGGTCCTCCTGACCGGTTCCGCGTAGGTGAAAGTTTGACATCTTGGAATCCAAATTTGCGAACGTTGACGTTGATGTGATTTACGGTTGATATCTATGGATTTTTTGAATGAAGAAAAAAAAACAATTTAAACAGTCATTTAAAACTTCAAAATACTCTGTGTTAAAACCTTGGCTCCTAGTTCCTGAGGACAACCCTGCTAAATCCAACAGAGTCCAACCGGAGTTTCCTGCTCAATCCACTGTGCCTCATTTTCAGTTGTCTGCTGAATCCAACGGAGTCAAACTTGGCGTTATAATGCGGTTCAGTTGCCTGCTGAATCCAACATTTTACATCAGGAATGTGCACAAGGTTTATTGCTCAATTAATCCAGCAGGCTCCATCGGGTATAATAGGTGGATCCTGTTGGATTCAGCAGGGTTAGTGTTAACTCTACCCCTGAAACTTGAACAGCTAGATACATTTTTTTAGGGTTGTGTTTATTGTTTGCCTGTTTTATGAAGATTCATAAAAGTTCCTTTACCGATTTGTTTACCAAAATGAATAAATCATCAGAACAAATCATTCGATCATCAAAGCAGACGACGTCCTGTACGTAAGGATGAAAAATCCAAACAACGCATAGGACTTGTCACTTAATAGTGTCGGTGGAAGAAGACTAATTTTATTATTCGCTGTGTGAGATATGTGACACAAGGGTTCAGCTTCTAAAACTTTGCGCAGAGAAGTATTTTCGTCTGAAAGCACAAAATAAACATAAGTGTTTCATAAATTGTTGATACGGATTCGGCAGTTCTTGTTAGCTTTAAAAAAAAAAGCTGTGTCAATAGTCATAACAAATTTGTCCCTTGTATGATCCGTGTGACTAACATAAATAATGGCCTGGCAATAACTTAAGGCCCATACCAATGTTACACTGCGACCCGCGTTAATGAGGAGTGTTATTCCCTGTCAATTTTTTTTATATTTTTATACAGACTGCCTTATTTTAACTATTCCCCCAAAAAGGTTAGCCTAGCCCCTAAAGATAACCCTTGTGTACTTGTCCTTGGTTTTCGAAGAATTCATTATACACCGCATGTTTTACGAAGGCCGAACTGAATCAAATTGGAGCACCGCTGTGATTAAATTTTTCAGGCAGTCCTTTTGGTCCCTTTTGTAAATTTGCAGTGTTTTCCAAACCAACAGCTGAAGGTTCTTATGTTTCGCCAATCTACGGCAGTAATAACCTACTCGAGCACGGCGCGTCTCACAGTGCGATATTTCAAGTTGTATCACAGCCTTTCACGCAGAGTAACAATGCACGGCACTTTCCCGTTGCACCGGCTGTTACATGGCACTTAGTGGTCGGTCTGTCCCCGGAAAATTGACCATAAACGCCCACTAAGTTTCCCACAAAACATAACTACCAAATTTAAATTTTCAAAAAACACACAAAATAATTCAATACTAACAAAAATTGTTTGTAACAATTCGTAAATTTGTTTATGACAATTGTGTAAATGCATGGAGGCAAATTATGTGCAGTAATGGTATAGTGACGTGATATATAACGCGTTTAATGGGGAACTTAGGGGTGTTCTTTTGGTCCTCTTTCGGGGCAGCCTAGCGCAGTGAGATTTTCGCGTGGGACGACGCGTTGGACGGCAGCCCGGGCTTGTACGCACAATCACCGGTCAACGTAACGCACGACTTCCATGCAAGACGGCCAGGGCTTATCGTGCACTCGCACTTGTTAAATAACTACTGAGCGGGAAAATTGCAGCAGTCTCATTAATTTCAGCCCCATTATGACATGAGGCGGGATGATCAAAGCAGAAATTGATGCTAATAATTATGGTTAGGCATGACTCTTCTAATCTAATGGAAATATAAATGACTACAAATTTAAAGTGGCATTTAGGTTGATGTGATGCTGTTTCATTCGTTTCGTATAAACAAACTGTTTTCGAACATGCATGGTGTATTTCATCGACAATCATAATGTCACCGCTAAGCATGCAAAACAATGTCCGCGTCGATATTTTTCACTAATACAAATAACGGGTTTTTTTTCTGTCTTCAGCTTTGGCATTCAATAGTTCCTAAAAAAGAAATCAATATTTTGCGCAAAACAAATAATAGCCCTGAATATAATACTGACAGTATGGAGTATAATTAATTAACTAATCCGTTTGAAAGGTCTATAATCTAATGCACTTTGAACTAATTTTGGATCATCTTTTAAAGTAGAAGATAAGAGTTGTGTTCCACTTCTAAAACCGTTGTGTTCAACCGAGGATAGAGAGCATTTAATAGCGTCAGTCAACCATCATTGATTTCTCATAGTCCACGACTTGTCACAAAACTGTATTTACAGTACGTGAAGTGACCAGAACAAATCAGTATGAAAAATTCATATTCGATTACAAATTATAACAAAAACTACCCAAAAAATCTTCAACTGAACGAAGGCAATGACAAACTTACGTGGATGAAATGTTAGAACGACGACACGTGCATGTTACATGCTTGTGAAACCACGTTTATGCTGTTTTCGTCCGATGCAAAACGGTTTCGAAATTACAATTTAATTCATGCACTACCGTTTGTTTTACATAATACAACGTGTAGGCCTATACGTGCAAGCTTCTACACTGAGTAACACTACCAGCATCCCGTATGCTAGTGCCATTCACATACCACTGCGGTAGACTACACAAAATTAATTAATTCCAACGCTACCATCTGGTCGTAGTCTTGCACACAGCGTCAGCACTACCAACAACTCTTTGATATACGGTGTTTGTACGGAGATGGATCAATAATAAACGCTTGATGACTAAGCGCAGACTTGAGAAAAGTCTACACACGCAATACGTGTGAAAGGGGCATGTAATTCCATACAGTTGCTAAAATATACATCCAGACGGACACGATTAAACTTACACAAAATGTGGGAAAAATACAAGCACATTTGAAACAACACACTGCAAAATGTTTTAAACAGCAAGGCTGCTTTGATAAAAAAGAACAGTTTCCGGTTTAAATAAATCCACAACAATATCGATTTTCACATATGTTTCTGTAGACTACCTTACTTTCATCAATCACTTTCCTCAGAAAAATTCTAAGCGAATACGATTACTTCTAAATCATTCTAAATCCTAAGTTTTAACACTTGCTACTGTTGATTTCACATTACAGCAGGGTTTTAAAAGTTCTACCAATTAAGAGCGGTATTTTAATTTAATTATCAACTAAATATAGCCATTATTATTTTTTCCCAAATATTTGAAACTGAACGATGTCGACAATCAGCAATAATAATACATATTTTCTAAATTTACAATAACACGTCCTTCGCTGTGAATAGGACAATCGTAATCATCATGTTCGATTTTTCTTTGGTTAAATTTAAGATTCAATAAAAATATTGGACAATAAAAATATTGGAGCAAAAGATAAGCTTCATTGTACTAACCGAAGAAACATCTGTTGCTATTTCAGCGCGCGGTAGTGACATATCACTGTATAGGCTATCAGGCACCTGTTGCCAAATATGCTAATGAGGAAGGTTCCATTCTTCTCAGAGAGTGAATCCAACGGAGGGGATAATTTATTTGTCCAGTATGATTACACGTCATTATCTCATTACTATTCCGGGAATTGTCCGAGGATAATTGAAAACACTTAAGTGCAAACGACGTGGTGTTAATGGTTAAACGAGTCTCAAGGATAAGTTGTTCAATAATAATTATTGAACAATAATTATTGTGGTTCAAAAGAGAGGAAAATTAAAAAGAAAATGGTTGGACTGCGTGTTACGTGCTATTTTAACTACATACAATCAATATCGATTTGTTACTGATTATCTGAACAACCTTTGAGCCCTTTGAATTCAAAGCAGATTTCTTTTGAAATTCAATTTAACCTTTAAATAAAAACACAAAACAAAAACGAGGATGTTGTAAATTACCTCTTTATGTTTCTTTTAGTGGAGTCATTTTATCTTTGTGTATCTTTATTTTTCATTTTTGTGACCAAACAGCTAGCACCAAAACTGCACCAAAACACTTCTGATGTTTTGCAATATGAAGATTGTAAATTAAGTAAAATGGGATAGAAAGGAGTATTACAAACTTGAATTCAAAACTGCATTCGGCCTGCGAACTGCAGTGCAATTGCTCCAATGAGAATACCAAACCTGATCATCCTGTACAGCGCCACCCCTTTCTTACTAGGCAAAGATTTCACAAACACACAGTAAATACACCAACGCAATTTACTATGCGAGAAAGAAGTCATTAAATTGAATTACCATATATGTGAACAAGGGAACGTTTCTCGACCTCCAACCTGGGGCCAATTTCACAGAGCTGCTTAAGCACAAAATTTGCTTAAGCACAAAAACGTCTTGCTTAATAAAATCAGGTTAGCGGCCAAAACTCCATGCGATTGTTATGCTAAGTAAACAACAGCTAATTACCAGTCACAAGCAATGTACATCACATGGAGTTTTGGCCGGTAACCTAATTTTACTAAGCAATGTTTTTTCGTGCTTAAGCAAATTTTCTGCTTAAGCAGCTCTATGAAATTGGGCCCAGCTGCAGCCTGGGTACAATAGATCATATGTACGTTGCAGGTACCACAGACGCTGTTTTGATATTTCAATTTAATTACAACTAATAAACAAAACGTTTACTCGTGCATATCCCTCACAAAACCATTGCCTTCGACTCCGCCTCAACGTATGGGGTGTATACGAGCACAAACAGGTCACAACTTACAGATGAAGTCAAAGAGCTGAGACAAATTCACTGCGGGTTTCTCAGCATTGTCGGAACTTTGGTTAATGTTCAAGCTTTTACCAAACAAAAACCATGCATGCCGGTCGAACTCGGAACTAGGCCAACCAGGTCTAATTACTCCTTATCTAACCCCCAAAACGCCGTACAACAAAAATAAATCGCACTCCATCGATCGCAAACGACCGGCATTTACATTAGACTAACCTTCCAACATTCGAACACATTAATCACAAGTCATTTCTCAGGATAACATTTCTATAGAGCCCGACCTAGAATGCTGGCCTGTCGTGATCACATTGTCTAGTGTTCCTTCATTGCCAAAACCACTTTGAACAAAATTGAATTGTCCAGAGTGCGCCAAATGAATTGCAGGAATTACAGTGCACGCATCAATCATGCGGAGAAACGTTTGAATTCTGTTTCTAGAAACTGAGCTGTATTTTTTTTCAAAGTAAATATTACCCTCTTTCCTTGTAAACGGAGACCGGTTTTATTAAATTGGAAGGATATTCCTTCTCAACACTCCAGAAAAGCAAACAAGTTACTAAGCATAAGAGGTATGGAGCAAACACCGCGTATGATAAATATGAATAAAGTGCAATCATCAATTTCCGCGGAGAAAAATAAAGTACCCCAGATTTGTGTAATTAATAACACTGAGTTAAAAGATTAATGTGCAATAGGTAAGCTAAATTTTCTTGTATTCTAAAACTTGAACTGCAATCGACTTTTAAATTTTATGTTAAAGGGAAAATACAACATTTGCAAACATCAAAAAATAAAACTACCAAATCATTTTGAAATACCTTGCTGGACTGTTAGTGAATGACAGTGTAAAGCATCCTGTAAAATCATGGCACCTGGTATACTGTCATTTTCAAGAAAAGTGGTATTTTTGTATCAATTTCCAACGCTGATCGGCCGATCAGCGTTGGAAAAAACTGGCTTTTTTCAAATACTGGCCCCAGTTGACCATCGCACTTGTTTGCAATCGATTACACACCTATGAACGGGTACAAGCCAGCTAGACTGGTTCCCTGACCTTACAATTCCCCAATATATGTAAACTGCTCTGTTTCTTCTTAAATGGAGTCAGGGAACCAGACTACAGGAAAATGATTGTTTTTCTTGGTTTTTATAGCATTTTCGAACCCAAAACCTCAAAAAAGTCAGTGTTACTATATTTGCTATATATTTCCAACCCCCCAATTCCATCCATTTCTGAAAATTACAGCAAAAGCAAATGATGTATATTCCCTTTAAGAAATGAACAAAGTATCTCTAAAAAAAATAAGGAACAAGTAATAAAGATCGTCATCATCATCGTTCGACTGCACCGCAAGCGACCATAATTTTCTTCCAACGACTGCGGTGACTGGCAAGGTTGACAAGTTGCCTTGGTTGAAGCAGGTTCCTTGGTTGGAGCAGGTTGTCCTTATCCACAAGAAAGCTTTGATTATAGTTTTCATAATGTTGTAGTCGGTCGCCGTGATCTTTTTTAACCGTGCGGTGGAACATAAGGCCAAAAAAAAAAGTCTCCGGTTTCTGGTATGGAGCTTGCCCCAAAAGTGGTGCGGCGACGCGGCTTTTTTTTTTTTTTTACCTGTTTTTTTTTTTTTTTTGGCTTCAAATGTCGGCTGATGACTGCAAATGGTGCCCGACTAAACTTAGTGCAAATATATGGGAGTCCAGAGAGGCCACATAAATCTTATTCTCGATCATAACCCCATCTTAAAACACGTTAAAATTGTGCAGCAGCAGAATTCCAGTCAAACCAGTGAGTTTGGCGGTTTTGAAACATCATCTTGCATTGAAAAAAAAAACTTTTTCATTTTGCCGACGCGCATGGCTACGGCGACGCGCGCGCATACCAGAAACCGGAGACTTTTTTTTTTGGCCTAAACAGCATATCTTTTTTTTCCTGATGCGACCGAGAAATTGCAGCTGGCGAGATCTGATTTATGGCCAATTATAAAATTCTCTCTTTCTTTTTTTCATTCTAGTTTACTATATTTGATCTTTGTTTCATTTCGTCAGCAATATGTACAGTGTTTCTTACTCGTTTACGTACGTGTTTAATGTCATGTCCATGTAATCAGTTTGTTTTGTCTCCGATCCGTCAATTTGGTCTTTCTGTATCTGTTTGTCTGTTGTGTGTGTGCGTATGTGTGCTTGTCTGTCTGTCTGATTTATATGTCTCATCATTTCACAGCATTTCTTTATTTAGTTATTATTTAAAGGCATCTCTATACAAGCTTCTGCTTCCAGAATATGCCTCCATGTATGTGCCACAATTGTATATTTGCTTATAATTATATTGTTATTTCTTGTATATTCAATTGTGCTGTGCAGAATGGAAATAAATGTGAACTGAACTGAACTGAACTGATATGATGGATAGAGAAAATTGTTTTGATGATGTATTGAATATATGCATTTGTAAAAAGATCAAATTGGAATTGTTATTTTTGTCAAAGACCTAAGGACAATGAATTAATGAGGTACTCGCTTGTTCCCTAATCACGCTTCATTATTACCGCAGAGACGCCGCTTGCATTTTGTTACGATCTGCACATGCAGTCTCGTGTAGCCAGTTCAGTGCAGCTTCTCGTGCGTGCGGTGATTGGATGGGCGTTTGCCGAGTGATTTGGTTGCGCGCAATCTCCGAGCGCAGCTTCATCTTTAAGCTTTATGTGGTGCACTGTCGCGGGAGGAAAGAGCGGGCGAGGACGGTCAGCAAGCTGGCTGATGACAGTTCGTTTCGAAGTCATATTGTCGTCGTAGGCAGCTCGAATTTGGCGTGTGAAATAAGTCCATTCATTGGTGCCGTGGTGTGTAGTTGTCAGTCGAGTGATGTAGAGATTTATTTCAAAGAATTGTGAGTTTGAAAAT